GGAAAGGGGCTCCAGGAAGGAAAGGAATTGAGCAGGTTTGGCCCAAGACGGCTATCACCCTATTTGTCAAGGTAAAGCATAACCTCGCCGTTGACACCAACGCAACGGAATGTTACACTGCACACAGCGGATTCTCACCAGATTTTCTCTGTTTTCTTTTGGTTTAGGGGGGTTGTTGGGTCCAGATGGGTCTTGCATGTAGTTAAATGATGAATGCTTGTATCTGCCATCTGGGAATCTAATCGGGAGTGAGTTGGATTGTAGCGGGAGACGGCCAAGGTGGCCCAGAGTATTAGACGAAATGTCGGACTAGCGATGTTGTCGCTCAGTCCCGTTGTACGTGAACTAGAAATATATTGAAAAGTAATCACCTAGCGATGTTGTCGCTGGTGTACGAATATTAGATACACGTTTTATGAAAGATGAACAAGATCTAACCAACACACTTCAGTCCCGTTGTACGTGAACTGAGGAAAGGTTGGATTGTACAAAAATTGTTCTTTTATAGTCAGGCGCTATGAATGCGCACTGACTTTGGCACGGATGTCACCAAGAAAGGTAATAGGTGTAAATCTAGACGCCACACGACTCAACATCACCAAACGTGAGTTGGTCATAGCGTACACCATAGAACCAAGAATTCTAACACAGAGTGTATTAGCAGCTAGCATGCAGCGACCCACGCGTGACCCATTACAAGTACATCTTAGCTGCGTTGGCCTGTTCGTCTATACAGCGCCGAGAAGAAGTAAAATACATTCTGGTCACGAGATATCAACGGCGATGTGACACTGACATTCAACTGACATTCTCGTTCTTCCTCTCACCCGGCTAGCCGCCGTCTACCAGTCAGCCCTTTAGCCTTTTGCTATCTCCTCGTACTCACCCTTTCGCTTTTGCTTTCTCGTTCTAGTGAATTTCGACAGCGAATTCTTCAGCTCGTGCGTTGTCGCCGCTCAGCAAGAGAGCACAGGGTCACCTGTCTCTCCTACCGCCACCGCTGTTGGCGACTTCGATCTCACCAAGACCAAGGACGTCCCGGAAGACATCCCCCCTCAGTCGCCCCTGATCCCTGACTCCTACCCCGGGGCTTTCTCTGACTTCTACGGCTTCCCTTCTCACCCCATCTGCGTCTACCGTACGGGCGACGAGTGGCCAACACCCAAGGGCCCCCAGGCCCCGCGCGTGCCGAAGAGGGCCAGGCCCGTCTGCAACCACCCAATCCGAGCCGTGTGGCGCACACTAGGTGAACAGGTGTACAAGTTCCTCGATTCCCTTGAAATCTTGTGGTCGACCATCGATCCTGTCCGCTTCGCCGAGGAAGAAGGGGAAGCAGGTCCCCTCTATCTCTGGGTGGGCGTCATTCCTAGGTCTCTCTCCCTCGAGGTCGCCAAGGCCGCAGCCGTCGGCTGCAAGAAGATCCTCGCCGCCGCTCAGTTCCCTCACGTCGAGATCGCTTTCAGGGAGTCCGTCTTCACCCGATCCGCTGGTCCACAGCTTCTCAACCATGTCATCTCCGTAGACCCCACCGCTGACATCCGTAGCCCCTTCACTGGCACTCTCGGTGTTCAGATCGCTCCCCGAAACACTCCTCACTTCGAGGGCACCGGTGCTCTGTACCTCTGCGAGGGCGGCCAAAGCAATCGGGTCTTCCTCCTGACCACCCGCCACGTCGCTCTCCCGCCGAGCGTACACCGCAATGAGCTCTATGAGCGCAAGAGGACCAGCCAGCCTCGTCATGAGGTTCTCATCCTCGGCAGCAAAGCGTACCCAGACACCCTCGAGGCCATGATGGCTGACATCGGGCGCGAGCTTATCTTTGCCGATCACTACAACAGGGAGCTTGCTGCGTTAGGGGAAGCCGTTGAGGGCGAGGACGCCACGGTAGCTGAGGCGCGCCAGGAGTTTAAAGGCAAGTTGGCAAAGGCGGAGAAGACGATCATGACCGTAAACGCGTTCCACAGTGACATTACCAAGTACTGGAGCACAGCGAGCCAGCGCGTGATCGGTCACGTCATCTATGCCCCTCCTATTTCCGTCGGTACCGGCCCCAAGCCATTCACCGAAGATTGGGCTTTGATCGAACTCAACCGCGACAAGATTGATTGGAATAATTTCAAGGGCAACGCCGTGTATCTCGGTCCGTCCCGATCTATCTTACAGAAGTCATCTAGTCATACTATTATATCCAGGAAACAAGATTTCAGCCCCTGACTTTGTCCTCAAGATGCACCCTCACCCTGAGGGCCGCTCCGCCTTCAAGTATCCGGTTGGCAGTCTCCTGCATGTTAAGGGCATCGTCAAGGAGGAAATACGCCAGCCGACCTTGCTCGACGCAAATGGAGAGGAGTGCCTTATCGTCATCAAAAACGGTAAGAGCACTGGTATCACCATTGGTCTCGGATCCGATATAGAGTCCTTCCTTCGAGTGTACGACGAGTACGGCATTAAGTCGACATCGATGGAGATTGCCATCCACCCCTACAACCACAAGGACGGTGCATTCTCCGCCCCTGGGGATTCGGGGTCCATTGTCGTTGATGGGCTGGGACGTATCATCGGCCTGCTTACCGGCGGTTCCGGCACGACTGGCTCTACAGACGTGACCTACGTGACGCCGTATTCCTGGGTCGAGGAGCAAATCAAGAAGGCATTCCCCGACTCCTACCTCTACCCGATCAAGGGGTAGGTTGCGACATCAACACCATGACATCGGCGAGGCTGGCGAGGCGTCTCGTTACTTTTCCACCTATGCGACTTCTTCTCTTTCCGTCACACTCCTTTATCTGTCAGTTGTCGCTGCCGACGTGGTGGACTATTGTTAGGTTCGTCTCTTTCTTTTCCTCGCATTGACGACTTTGACGTCTTAGGCCCTAGCATAGCGGACTCGTTTTTTGCTTTCCTTTTTTTCGTACAACTGACGGTTTTTTACTAATGGTGTAGGCCCCAGACTCGTCAGCTTGTCTCGTTTCCTTCCTCCCTTCGCGCAACTGATGGCCTTGACGTCCAGGTCCCAGACGACTAGCTGGACTGCCGGACAAACTCGTGACCTTCGAGTGGCGTCTCCTGGGCATATGCGGACATTCGATTAATTGGTCCTTGTACGGTAGCATCTCGTTTTCTCTCGGACAGTCGCAACGTAACTTTGTATAATCACCCTCGATCGCTTGTATGAACCTTGTATCTTGAATTGATTTCGTGTTTGAATTGCGCGCGATAAACCAAGGTTCAATACCTAGGTAGAGTCGACTTGGGCACTTGGTACTCTGGCGCTACGTAGTGCTTGTCTCTCTTCTCGCTCACCACTTCACCGTCGCGACTAAAACTCCAGTTTTTAACTTCGTCTTACGACTTCACCCCAATATAAGTACCACCGTTTGCAGGATTTCGGATACCGAAGCCAATGAGATTACCGCTAAGCTCTTGGAATACTATCTCAGACAAGGATCTATTTACGTCGCCCGACTAAACTCGACTAAGACGATAACCGATACGTCGAAACCACGTCCTTTTCGGCAACAAGTTCGGCACTTCTCCACCAAGCTAGGACGACTACATCTCTATTCATGACTCGATGACCCGACGACCCCGTACGTATCGGCCGGTCTCTTCGGTACTAGATATTATGCACGTCGATTTGATAGGAGCTAGTTTTAGCAATGACGAAGTCCTTGGTATACTACCAACTTCGCTCGTACGACGACGTTTGTACAACGTCGCTCTAGCCCTTGTTACTAATAAAGTATCAGGTCTTGTATACGCCTAACGACATCGACTAACACTAACGATATTCTTCGTGTGAGGCGAGCCTACCAAACGGCCTCCATCGGCGCAGAGTAGCTAGTAGTGCTTCGCCAGCCCCGGTCCTTCCTCCACCACATACAATGATTCAAGGCCATTGCAACCAGCTTCCTGACACTTCGGGTATACCATGCGGGCGTCGAGCCTTAGGTGGGTATTCCAGCCTAATCAGCCAACCGTTTTGCGTTGCTCTACACTAGAGGGTCCCCCGACAAAGGCCCTACCCTTGGCCCTACGAGTCTGCAGTAGTCCCTGGATGAAGTGGGAGCCCCCTGTTGCGGTTGGTTGCATATGTGAACAGAGGTGTGGAGGGCTGAATATTGTCATTCAGAATGAACTGAACAGCGCTGGATGGGAGAATTGCAATGAAGGGGTGGCCGCATCAGAATCTGCAGAACATCCAGACACCCTAAGTGCATCCCACACTCATCGCAGGGACTTGAGCGTCTGGATCATAATATATAGGGAGGTCGAGCTGAAAAAAAAAAAGAAGCCACGAGTGCCGCAACAATATCACGGTGGGCCTATTAGGCCCAGATCTCTTTTGCGTTGCGGTTGGAACTGGCATCGATGTTAGCGGCAAGATCGGCACAAACTGATGAATGCTATTTGGATTTTATATATGTTGAGAAGGAACTGGGAAAGAGTTGTTGATGAGCTTCATTCATTGGAAGATAGAGCGCATTCATTCCACGGGCGGTCAAACTCGAGAGCTGTTTGCTCATGGCGTGAAAAGCACCAGCTGATGTACCTCTGTGGGCTGTCCTACCTTTATCCTCGTTTGATGATAGGTGTCACGTCGCAATCGTGTCATGACGAGACGCTCAGCAGATATACGTGAATTTGATTGTCATTATTGTCATACATGGATCACACAACGATAACGGATAACAACGCACCCCCCAAGCAAGCGGGCCGGGGCCATTCGGATTTACATGCATTGTTCATTGCGATCCGGAATAGTCCGCATGGTATCTATCATCCGAGGCCGCGCAACTGTTGTAGGACCACATGTATGTACACGTTCCCGAGAGGAAGCTATACCCGGCCCATGTTCGCGGTGGTTGGGCTAGATGAAGGAATCAGTGGTGCTTCCGTGTGCGGCCATCATCAAGCTAGGATACTCCGGTTACGTGTCGGGTTACCCGCGGCTGATAGCCACGGCATTGCATCACGTGCCCTTCATCAATACTTAACTCATGCGAGAATTACACCGGTTCGATCTTCCCTATCTACTTAATACCAGCTGATAACTATATAGCTCCATTTCCCGTCTGCGCGATATCATTGGCTGCAAGAAGCCAAAGCAAAAAGGGGGCAAAAAGTCAAAGGATTTGCTGCCACAAATGACACTGCCTTACATAAACATCATGATCCAACTACTTAACCCCCCATCGAATCAGTCAACCTCATCTCCCTTTTACCCTACTTCCAAGCCATGTCGGACGTCGACTTCCTCCGTTCCAAGTTTCGTTTCTATCCTGACTTCCCCAAAAAGGTGTGTGTCATTTATTCTCCTGTCACCACAATCGCCGCTATCTCTTTCACATCCGCTGCCCCCTAAGTCCCTCCTGCAAACGTTTTACATGATTTTTTTGCTGAACGAGTAATTTGACAGGGTGTAGCCTTCGCCGATTTCCTTCCAATCCTTCAAGATCCGATCGCATTCGAAACCCTTATCACCCATATTACCCACCACATCACCTCTCATACCATCCCTAGCATCTCCTCTTCTACCAAGGGAAAGCCCCCTTCATATCATCCCAACGGAAACGGTGTTGTCCGCAATGGTCATCCTCACGCCAACGGCGCAACCATCACCAGTGGAATAACACATCCCACCACCAACAACAGCAAGAAAATAGACGTGATAGTGGCATTAGACGCCCGTGGATTCTTACTGGGACCCATCATAGCTCTCAGACTGGGCGCTTCTTTCGTTCCCGTTCGTAAGAAGGGCAAATTACCTGGCGAAACTATTAGCGTGGTTTATCAGAAGGAATACGGCACGGTGAGTGTGTTTGTGTTGTGTTCTTGAAGAAGAAATTGACCGATGAGGACGGATTTATTTTTGGTTTTTTTATTTTTTAATTTTTTTTTAGGATTCATTTGATATTCAGGTTGGAGCTATCAAAGAAGGTGACAATGTTATCGTTATCGATGACGTCCTTGCAACCGGTTCGTCTTCCTTTTCTTCCTTCTTCCTCGCTCCTCACTGATTCTCTCTTCCCACGGTCATACATTCATGCACAACCCACACCTTCCACAATCGTACATTCACCGCACACGCACACGCACATATACATATACATATACAACCAGGTGGCTCAGCAAAAGCAGCCGGTGACCTTATAAGTGCCTGCGGAGGCAAAACAGTCGAGTACATCTTTGTCATCTATGCCGCTTTCTTGAAGGGGCATGAGAAACTTGATGCCCCTGTCTATAACATCATCGAGGTGAATGAATGAACGAACGAGAATCTCGGAAAGCCACCCAGGGGCGTATCTACGTGGTCCGGAGGAGAAAGGCCACGATATATAGCGGTATATAGGGAGAGAAGATCATTGTTTTTTTTTTGTTATTTATGATATGATGTTGCTCTTTGATGGACTTGGGAGTACGTCTTTGCCGTAGGGGATTGATCAGGGTTAACGACAATATCGTTTGGTTGTGGAGACACTTATACACATGTCCTAGTCGTCTTGCTTTTTTTTTTTCTCTCTCTCTCATCCCATCACGATCGAGAAGTTGCTGGATGTAATGTACAATTACTGTAAGCTAAAGCTGACGCCGATTTGTCCAACTCTTTTTGTCATGAATCAGCTGCATATTATGCAGTCAGTCAATCGCGATCGTCTGCGAAGAGCTTATGTATAATTGTAGCTGTTGGTGAAGCCTAATTGACAATGTGATGCCAACACCGATCGTGCTTCTAGAACTCGCGAAATTCGAGGGTCGCTCGATTTGCTCGCATGCATGTGTATCTGACGCCTGAGACAATATAAGCACTTCCCATGGATGGATGCACACGCCGATGATTGTACTATTACTTAAGAATGAAACCCGGGAAAAGAAAAGATTATATAATATTATCGAAGGACTATCGTATTCCGTAAAGCAAGCCCATTGATGTATAACTGAACGGGAGGTGGTGGTGTTGAATTCGCAGAACCAGACTCATGAGCCTTCTTCTTCCCTCCATCATCGTCATCACCATCATCAACATCATTCACTTTGTTCTTCTTCTTACCCGTAGTGTTTTCATCCTGTTTGATAACGTCCTCGACTCTCTTGACTTCCACGATTACGTCCCACCCTCCGCCGTCGTTCGCATTCACGCTCCTCTCCTCCGCGACGCCCAACATTTCGTCGATAACGCTTCCATCATCCCGACCAACCGCCACAATGCTCACATCCCAAAGTTCCCTCCTAGCCAATTCCTCATCTGATTTATCTATACTAGGATTGATTAACTCTCCATCGTCTGCATCCAACTTTCCTCCCCCCGACCCCCCGGTTCCACGGGCTCTCCCATCACTGCCCCCGCTACTGCCAGGACCAGCTTCACTCTCGCTCGGCTCACGCTTTCGTGAGTCATTCCAAACGATCACCCCAGCAAAGTGCGCCTTTTTAGCTAGGATGAGTTTTTGAAGAAAAGCGCATTCCCCTCGTCGGATAAAGACAACGACGGGTAAGAGATGAGCTGAGGGCTCTGATGATGATGGCGAAGGGAAAGTAGAAGATGAGGGGCATGATGATGAGGGTGTGGGGGTAGGCAGTGAGGAAAGCGTCGATGACGTTACCGAGCCCTTTTCTTGTGCTTGCCCCCCAGAACGAACAGGGGGCGAATACCAGCGTATGAAGTCTCGAGGGTAGTCATGGCATCCATACGGATTGTCCACCGGTGCACGAACAACACGTACGGCACCATTAAACGGCGAGTCGGCGCTAAAGATAAGCGGATCCGGCATCGTCGTCCGCGTCTGCTGTGACGTTTCACCCGATGCTGACTCCGACTCTAGGGGCTCTGAAAGGGGAAAAGGCTGTGGAGGCAAGACTGGATTTCCTCCAAAACTAGCCGTAGCGGCCAGAGCGTCAAAGACAAAACTTTCGTTGAACCCGGCATTGGCGCTTCGGAGCGGCGCTTGAAAGTTAGAAGGCCAAGGAGAAGAGGTGAGAGAGGGCGCAAAAGAAAAGTAAAGGATGACATCTGGAAGTCCGAATCGTCGAAATGATTTTGGCAAAGCTTCACTTCTCCGTAGGGTCCTGAGGATGATTGGATCGCTAATATAAACTTTCTGTCCAGTATAAACGCGATACTGTCCAACTTTAAGAGAAGAGCAAAAAAATAACATGCACGGGCAATCAGAATCACCTTCACATATCGCAGGCAAGAAAATGAAAGACTCACGTCGAGTAATGTCATACGCTGTTCGATCGATGCGAGCTGTCACTTGCGTTCGAATTCCAGTGATGTTAAGAACCTCATATCCATCGACGACTTTGCGAATTTTATCTGGCCCAGGGAAGCGATCTTCTGGAACAAGGCCTCCATCAGATGAGAGAATCCATTCGTGTACCTGTTATCGTCAAATAACAAAACGAAATAATCAGTCTCCAATCCATCAGTCAGGGGAAAACAGGTTGGGAAATCGTGTCCCAAGTATTCATACTAGAAAAGACTCACGTACTCCTCGACCCTTGGAACTTCACACCATCCATTCTCATCCCACCACGCCTTATCCTCCTCTGCGATCACAGCGAATGGATTTTTGTCCCCCGAAGTCTTGCTCCAAGACAACTTATCATAAGCATCAGGAGAAACAACGATACCAGCCAATAATCTTGCATATTCGAAATCGGGTCGTTCGCGCACGGATCCTATGAGACCTCCGAGGTCTCCCAAATCAGAGCCACCTTGGCGTGAGGACGTGACGAGGGGAGGACTGTATGCCGGGCATATCGAGTGTGAAGAACGGTGAAGTGCAGGTTGAATGGGGGGAGGTTGACGGAAATACATATTGTCGAGGAACAAGACGTGTCCTTCTGTAGTGAAAACAAAATTACGAAAATCCTGGTTGAACATGTTATCCTCGTCGAAAAGAAGGTAAAGATACTTGAAGCAATCGATCGATCAGATGGGAAGTTAATTAAGACTAAAATTAGCAACACTCGCTTTCAACGATTCGGAGAGGGCAAAAGACTCCATCCGATCTTCATGTGCTCCAGTCAAAACATTAGAGACGGTCGCCAATCCACAGGGTACCTTCGTTCGGCGAATAAAATCCTCAAGAATACGGGCTCCAACATCTAGATAAAATGAGTCCCGTGTCGCCTGTGAGACCAAGATCAGTTCCAGCCGCCATTTCATTAGATGAACAAACTCACTCGGTACAAGAAGTACGTGCTTTCAATGAATTCTATTGAAGCACCTCAACAAAGAACCCAAGACCTCAAGGACAAACGTACCCGGTCGTAGGGGGTACCCCAAGCTGATGCCTTCACGTGTCATGACGTTAAACGTTTCAGGCATTCCGCTAAAACGCTTCCATAGGTTCCAATCTAAGATGCTAATCAGAGGGGACGCCAAACACTGGAAAAAAGCGAGGCGTACATGCCATGTGGGATTTAATCGCACTCTCTACGTCGCCGGCTAGCACCTAGCCCTTAGGTCAGACAGGGCGCGTAATTCTAGGCAGGGACCCAATTCCTTTACCTGGAGACCAGGCCAAAATGCTCCTAGCGAATCAATCCAAGTGGTCGCCAACTCTCCGGTCTCCATAGAAACCGTACGATACTGCCAAGATTCAAAGTTTCAGTGCGTAACTCGCGCCATAATGACGGGGATGCGGCTTACCCAGAAACCATCCGCCCCTCTGGAGTGTTTCATAAGTGGTCCGTACGAGTCATTCCAGACGTCCAAATAACGGTTTTCCCCCGTAAGCACGTACATCTTCAAGGCATATCTTGGGGACGCCACAATCGAACCGAGACATGGGCATGGCAAAGGGAAAGGTACCTACTCATAAAAAGAATCGATACCAGCCCCGATACCGCTATTTCCGGGATTAAGCCATCTCTGCCCTTCTATGATTAATAATTCTTGAGATCTCCAAGAGCACTTACACCTGATATAAGATCAATAGTGTTTCCGATGAGGTCCAATTGTGAACGACGATTCCATATTGCAAAAAAAGATCTAACAGCAGCATCCTCAAATCTCGGGTCCCCAGTCAGCCGACTCAATGTTGTAAATTCTAACAGCAATGAACCTGCACCAGCAGAGCCTGATGGAAGACATGATGTTACCTCGTTCAGGCTTTAGTAAAGGGATGGGCGGACGGCTCACAAGTCTCGGTGGTTTCTCCCGCCGGAACGCCTCTTCGAAGATTTACCTGTGGAATATAAGAAGGGTTTTGGCCTGAATTCACAGCATTATGGCTCACCCTAGCATATGGAATTCCTGTAGGTGTATCGAAGGCCTGCAGCAGCCTTTCTCCCAAATCGTAGGCCAGTGAGAGGAGTTGATTATCATATCCAGGTATTGCAAATCCATAATTAGGCTCAACACTGAATATGTGAGCACTAAGGAGTCCTCCTAGCACCCTTATGGTTGTCTCAAATACTTGAGGTTTGGTATCCACGTCAAACGATACATGAGAAATTGTGTTCCAGACAGCGTTGTTAAATCCAGTGCGATTATTGAGGATTAGGAAGGAGTCCAGGTTATCAATCAAAGTGACAGAACAGTTTGCAAGAACATCGTTGAAATGGATGGCGGTTCTGCATGTGAAAGGTAATGAGCAGTGCTGAGATAATGAGAACCTTATGGTCCGACTAACGGATCAAACCAGTCTGGCCCCTGGCCCGTGCATGTCAGCGGCTTCAGTTCGTCAAGAGGGAAAGCTTCACTCGATTTAGCACGCGGCAGGCATAAAACAGTGTAAGCACAAACCATGGTGCATGTATGAATCAAACCCATGATTCCATAATGATCTAGTGAGCTCGCTGAAAGCAAAAATAATTCCAAGACCATTCGATCGAAAGTAACGGAACGCTTACCGAGCCTCCAACTTGCGTTCGGTCGTCCATCCACGTGAACGAGATTCGTGCACAGAACCAAAAACACTAAGTGTGAAAAGAGAGAGACAGAATGCGGAAACACTCCATCTCATATTCTGCTTTTGCTGACAATTGCAGGACAAGGAGCTGTGTTGGAAGGAGTGTGCGTGACCAGATATACAGTCTTGGAAGTAGGAAGGAGCGCTTAAGGTCCTGTTTTCTCCGGGGAGCGTTTACGAGGAGTTGGTATTTTGCGCAACAAGTAGTAGAGAAATCGCTCGCCGTCGAAGGGCGGCTCTGCACCTTCTCAACAACTATCAACAAGACATTAGTCATCATCATCGCCACCTCCGTTGTCTTCGTGAATAAAAACTGAATTGTTTGTTCTCTTCCGAAGCGATGGACATCAGCAGAGATATTGGGACGTATATGCTTCAGGGATGGGTGAGAATCTCGCATTGTTGTAGTATCGACTTTGTTTAACTGTATCACTCTCTAGATTTTGACAAATGATGCCTGTCCCAAATGTATTTACCCCCTCATGCGGTCCCCAGCTGCGCGCTCCCCACCGGAAACGTTCTGCGTTAATTGTGATGGAGGACCCACCGGGAGCTCAAGTAGGTGTTATAGGAGTCTTCCCCGTGTTGCGTCTGTCATTCAAAGACGGGTTGTGGTCAGCCAAGGGAGAAAAAACCTACACTAGCCAACCAATAATTGCTCAAGCATCAGAAGAGGCTTCTGCGCATGCTGAATCGGCATCAAGCAGTAGTCATCGGTCGCGTGCGTCTACCCCTCCCACAGAAGTATCTGAACCTCCACACAATGCCGGGGATGATTTCGATCCACTGCCACCACCTTCAGAAGAAGTTCTTCAGCGTAGGGCCCAATCGGATTATGCTTCCGCAGAAATTGGAAAACTCCTTTTGAGAGGATATGCAATGCTTGCGGACGAATGCCCTAATCTGACGTGCTATGGTGTGCCACTTGTGCGGCCGCCCAAAACCCCAGACGGTGGACCAAGTGCCAATAAGGTATGAAGCGAAATGAACTCCTTGACTTTCTTCATGTTCGTCAACATCTCTAACAGGAATGCGTTGTCTGTCGCTCCGTTTATGTATATGGCTCTGACGGGAGGAGCCTAGTCGCTGCCACAGTACCCATTCCGCAAAACCTGGTCGCGAACTCCAATGCCTCCATCCAACCCCTTTCGAGGGCGTTAGCTGAGGGAATAACCCAGTCAAAGGAGGTCACTTCAGCAGTATGTAGCCCTACATCTAATGAGGGTTTAAATGAACTCATGGCCATCGAGGATGCCCCAAGCACACAAGCGGCTCTCAATGACGCTTCTCTGCAAGCCTCAGACCCACTGCAGCAGACACTGCTCGCGTTGGAGCACTCGTTGACCGTTTTAGCCTCGCGGATGCGTGAACTTGCGTCACCCCCTGCTCTAACAAATCTCAACACAGCCGCAATGACGGATGTCGCTAAGACAATGGATTCTGTTTTAAGCGCTTTGAATAAGGCAAAGCAATTGAAGTAGGCACTCTGGGTTTGCCTTTATACTGCTTCGAAATCAATTGAATTGCATAACCAAAACATGCATGAAGTTCGCCGTTGACGCGCGGCTCCAAAGCGCAACCAGTAACCCCCCCGCAGAGAGAGAGGAGTGGCATAGACACCACACCCCCACACACTCAGACACGACTTCAAACCAGATATCACAACCCGTCATCCCGACCACACCGACTGGCCGCACCGCCACGTACAAGTAACAAAATAGAGTACAACAACAACAACGCGCGCTTCCAAAGCGCCCGCTTTGTTAATTAAGCCAGTGGCTAGAGCAAGTGTTTGGGAAGACAAAGCAAAGAATGCTATGACAAGCCATCTTAGCCTAGTTGGGGAAGAGTTACCGTGACAAGCAAAGCGCAGCCTCAACGACCACAAAGCTGCACTGAATTACTCTCTATTCATGCTCTCCCTCCCTAGCTTCAGGGGCTGACTGCGGCTAGAGCTTGAGGCTCTTTCGGGACAATGATAAGAGGCTGGTCTGCTGTCCGGATTCTCCCCAGTGAGCTTAGGTCCCCCCCTGGAATCCCCATTCGTTTCGCCACCCATTCTCCCTCGAAAATGCTCACAAAGTAAGCAGAGTCTACTGCTCTACCTTGAGGCGTGCATTTCGCTAAGTGTCTTCGCCTCGAAGTCAGAGGATCGCGCTGCTTGAGAGCATCCCGTCCTTACCAATTTTAAGAGATTCTACGATCTCCAACCGCGTATTCACAGACAAATCATTTTTGGGGAAGCCTCATTCAAGCTTCGAGGATGATGCAGATGTCTTCCCGGACAACGAGACGTTTGAGCATCTGGGAGACGCTATCTTGGGCTATTGTGTCACAAAACTCATCAGAAGCGTTTATCCCAAACTGAACCCTGGCGGTGCAACCGTGCGTAAATATTCCCCTTCAAACACCGCATATCCTGAACTATGGTGTATCAGATTGTGCGTTCTCGCATCGTGGAGAACAGAAATTTAGCCGCAATAGCCAAAGCATACCACATGGACGAACGGCTCACAGTGAGCACCGCACAACCTTCTATTAAGAACCACGATCGAGCATTGGGTATGATGGTTACACCTTCCCCCTCGTTGGAACTAAAATGCCCTTCCAGCTAGAGCCATCGAGGCCTTCGTAGGTGGATTGCATGAGGAGCAAGGTCTAGCCGCCGTGGAAACCTGGATTCGGGCATTGTTTTTGCCATTCGTGCGAACCGAATACGAAATCCTTCGTGAGGAGCTGCAGGTTCAGGGCAACGCTCCCCCATCATATGACGGCGGGAAACACCAACAATGCGATGCACGTAGCGAGACTTCCTCGAGTAGCTCCACCGTCATGCCTCCTGAAACCCTTCAAGCACGAAATGAAGCGACTGTTGCATTGGCTGAGTTGAATGAGAAACTAATCCAAATGAAAATCGCCGATAGAATCAGATGGTCTGAAGATAATTTGGCACCTGGGCAGAACCCTACCTTTCCAATTTGGAAGCTTGTTGTGCGATACAACGATGATGTAGTTGGCGAGGCGCGGGCGACCAGGAAAAAGGAGGCGAAGAACTTGGCGGCCTTTGCGGCTCTCAGGAACCTCCGAGTGAAGGGGGTTCTGCGGTAAAGCACCAGAGTATGTAAAAGAGGGTCTCTGTATTTGTCTGCGGTGTCTCAGTGTACTTCCTCCATTGCAATGACTACATTTTTCCATCAATGACACTGGGATCAATTGGCGATGGTTTGCCAAACCGCCCAGCGTGATGCGTTCCAGCAGTCTGGAGCAGTGGTCGTGTGTTCGAGGCCACGCTCGCGTTCTAGTGGAATCCCAATGACTGGTTGATAAATTTGACCGATAGACTGCAGGTGCCTGGTGTTTAGATGTTCCAGCTGGGTATTTCACTATGCAGTAACCCCTATCGATTGGCAATGGTACTGCTGTGTAACGCATTCTAGCCCATTCCGCAGGGAGTGTCCGACAAAGAGCAGCAATGCATCTCGAACTGTATCACTACATTACCGCCGCCCTGATTGAACACTAACCGATTTGGGACATGCCTGATTTTGGCTCAGCTTGGAGATCTGGGACATCAACAGAGGACGTACATTCATGGCTCGTCATATGGAACATGGTGGCACGGGCTAGGAGCGAAGCATTCGGTTCAGGAGGCGGTGACATGCCCTATTCTGGGAATTCCGCGGTGACCACTGCTGCCGGGTCGATGAATGGATTCACCACGGTGAATCTCGCTGTTGTACTGGATCTCGGTACCGATCGGCTGAACCCACCCAGTGATTGGCTTGCAACAGCCCCCTAATCCGATAACGGCCACCCACACGCATAAAAAGGACTCGTCTTCTTTGAGCCTTCCCCAAAGATTCTCTGCTCTTCCGTGCTGGTCAATTTTAAGATGATCCTCGAGTATGCGAAATAGCTCACAATGCGGATTCCAGAACTGACGGTGCACCTAACGACAGTGATGTAACAGAACTGATAAAGGACCTTCCGCGGTTGCCTGCGTTGTGGGATCCAGAACACGCCGGACGGGTCTTTAGAGACTCATCATCCGTTATCCGGTCGCGTTCCCCACTCGAAGACGATAGGGCTGAGTGTGAAAGGGACAACAAATCCCTCGCAATTATTGGGAGTGCGACACTGCACTACTGTACAGTGACTGAAATAGTGAGAAGCTACCCAAACCTCCTTCCGCGAGGCATAGAGGTTCGCTTAATGGTCTTTCATCTACGCTGATACTGACATGAATTTAAGACGATTCATTCTCAAGTCACTGGCGACAAAAACCTTCTCCAAATAGCCAAAGGATACAAACTTGGGGATAGGCTGTGTGTCAACGCGGCTCATCCCCACATTAAGGAGCATGAAAACGCATTGGGTTCGTAAGAAAACAGCCGAAGCACTGGCCGTGGTTTTGAGATTAAAATATTCCGTCTGTAGTTAATGCGCTGAAGGCGTACGTAGGAGGCCTCCACCAGCAAGGAGGAGAAGCAGCCCTCGAATGGGTGAGGAAACTTCTAGGCCCCTTCATAAGGGTTGCACATTCCCGCATTTCCCATGAAAGAGACCAAGAACTTCCCCAGTATTCTCCATCAAGTCAAGACTTTCCCCGTCCGGGCACTTCGACTGAGGGTTTTCCGTCTTCCCCTGGGGAATTGAGCGGCGCGTCAACCGGACGTGAGGGTATAGTACCAAACGGCATGTTGAGCCAGTTGAACGAGGCGCTGGCAAGGCGCGGGATAGCTCTCGGCATGCTGAGATGGGAGGACCAGATGCAGACCATCGTTCACAGCCAGAGCCCATCTTCCGTTATCTGGTCAGTGACTGGCCATTACGGCGGAGCGCAGATAGCGGAAGGCCAAGGAACGACAAAGAAAGATGCTAGGAATAAAGCTGCCGGCATGGCTTTGAGGACACTTAAACAGAGGGGGATATTAAACTAGTCACTCTGTTGAATCTCGACTGGTCGCCTCGTGGATTGAGTTTGTAGTCCATATTTTATTTTGTAGACGCCAGTTATGTATTGTAGTTTTCTATGATCCCAAAGAGTGTTTTTCATGGTTGGAACACAAACAGGTGCGAAGAGCAATCAGTGCAGTTGTTTATGAATATTTGGTCCGAGGACGCGGCAGGCGCGTGTTGGTGCTCGGGGTGCCATGCAAGCCACATGCAACACTGCCGTGGATCAAGTCCTTAGTGTCTAGAGCACTGCCAAATCTGCCAACTGGAGGATATGCCACCGTCACCGACCCCACCATTTGGGCTCTTTAAATCCAAATCTAAAGAATTTCCTGAAATCCGCTCTAGATCGGTAAACTTCCAACCGGAGGAGCAGATGGCTGCATACGGTGCCACACATCCTCAAGAAGAGGATTATTGGTTGCAACATCAGGAGGGACCTTCCCCTGTCCAATTACAATATGATCCTATGCATGAGTTTCCCCAGGAGCGCCAGTTGCAGCCCAATCCAGGCCCAGCAATAGTATATCAGCCGAGTGAACGTACTGGATCCCAGCCTGGGTCCCCCACTACTTCTACTGCTTCTCGGCGTTCCAAGCTTTCCAAAAGATCTCCTCGGAATGGAGCGTCCGTCGTCCACGCGGGAGCTCAAGTGGAAAGTTCAGCTGGTCGAACCCCCCCTCACCTGCGAAGCCCACATAGCGATTCGGGGACTCTTCCAGGTAGTCCGGTGGGATTGGGCCATCCCTCAGGTGTTCATCAAGTATATATGAACCCAGCTCCACCGACAACCATATCCATCATCGACGCGCCATCCATGACTCCCACTCCTTCCCCTCCGCCCCCTCCACCGAAACGCAAAAGCAGCCTAAAGAGGCTTTTTATGCCTACCTGGTCCCGCACTTCCCTCCCTGAGACTCGGAATGTAGGGGGTGAAACAGATACCCCTGCTGTTGGGGCACAACGACCATCTGTAGAGCCCGTTCCGGTCTCCATGCCCATCCAACCGAAGCGGAAAGGGAGCCTTGCGGGGCGCCTTTTTCGAAATCGATCCAGATCCTTAGTCACGGAACCCCCGGATCCACAAGAGGAAGTCGTAACAATCCCTTCGAGGCAAGAATCGTACGTGGCCCCCAATCCGCCCGAGAGAAAGCGTAGCTTCGGTCAGGGCCTCTTCCGAAGTCGATCCCGCACCGCTGCGGTGGAAACTGAGGATGCACCGTCTGTGTATTCGAGGGGCGAATCTCCGACGACCCAATCTGTTGGGTCGAAGAAGCGTTTTGGCATATTTAGGAAGACATCTCGCGATATGCCTGCCACTCCTGAGGCTGAGACTTTCCATCCATCAGGAAGCGCTGTGTTTTTGGGTAATGTTCCGACTCGGAGTTCACTTGATGACGGAGCCCCAGACTCCGCGAGCGCCAGCACTCCAAAACGAAGCAGGAATCCTTTCAATATATTTCGAAAGAAGTCGACTGATTCAAGTCGCGGAAGTGTAGAAGAATATGCGCCTGAGAGGGCAGAATCTTTCCCTCCACAGGAGGGAGTCACACCTACCTCGGGCACTTTCCAAGATATGGATGCCCCAGCTCCCATAGTGCCGAGGCCTAAGCCGAAAAGGTCTTGGACGGACAGACTCTTGGGTAGGAATAAAGTGGGTCACATCTACCTACTCCTGGTAGAGACTTATTTGGTTCGATAGGCTCCCAGAATCTTCTCTGTTGTGCACGAGGAACCAGAAGAAATGCTACCAGAGGACCAACCTCCACTGTCACCACAGGTCGAGGTGAGGATGGCACTCATAGAATTCATTGTTTTTCTGACTGTGTCACAGCGACAACTCCTTACCCTTGATCCAGCTCATCAAGCTGACGTGACGCAATATCCGTCAGCTTTATCTGCTGTAAGCTGTAGTGACATTCTAATGGCGCAGTCACACTAAATACGTCACATTCAGGGAGAAGAGCCCCCCCCAGTCGTCGACTTAGTGGCACCACGCGGCACCACTTCTCCACGGCATCGCTCGGTATATGCTCAACTTTATTGCCAGGGTCGAGCCATCTTACATATTTGCACTAGCCACAGCCTACCTATCCTGATGGGTATCACCAATCATTCCCAGAGCGAGCCTACCCACCCGTGAGTACTCATCCCTTCTGTTGAGTTACCGCTGATAAATTCGCAGAAATCTCCCCAGCGTCTATCCTCCAGACCAGCGTCACGCGACGCGCGGAGCCCCCGGGAATTACTCATGTCATGGAGGCGCCAAGGTCCACAACTGGACCGGTTTACCATGTATATCCATACGCAAGTAATACTCCACAGGACCCCGTCAGTGCTACACCAGGGCATCCTGTCAATGCCGGGAACTGGCGAGTTTCAGTGAGAGGAGGAGACGAGGATGATCGAGAACTATCCCAGACCTATCCATACACTGCTGGTCAGGAGGTCGGCGGGCAATCTCAACACAACCCTTCAACGATGACAAAGGTCCGGAGTGGAGCTCAGGTTGTATTACAGCCAGGCCAGGTGTGTGGCATTTTTATTTCATGGTATATTTGCATAGTGAAGATCAAGTAGGAATATGAACTCCCCGCGGACGGAAATGCTGTATTAGTGGTTCAAGAAGGCATGGACCTCGAGGGAAGCCTTTGTCGTACTCGTTTACGTGCCTCCCTAACTTCAGTTCCAGGTTAAGGATCCTGTCACTGGCGAGTTTGTTCCATACAATGAGGAATACATCGCAAGACAAGTCGATAGTAGGCGCGCTGCGTATGAGGAAACTTATTTCATCCCTCCGGGTAAAATTGTCGAATTCCAGGACGAAGAGGGCAACATCCTGTATCGGTAAGTGATGATGTTCAGTTCAGACGTGTCTTGATTGTGTCTCCATGGCTCTAGATCAGGGGGAGCTGACCGTCGCAGTGGCATTCACGATCTGGGCAATGGTATCCAGGGTGCCTATGATCCTGATGGTGCTTATGTTCTACATGTATGAGATTGGGCTGTGCCACATTTCCTCTTACGCCATTATTTTGGCGGGTTCTCGTCGTCATTGTCGGCTAATGCGAGATTTTCCTTTCTAGCTTGATGGCGACACGATAATGATGGGTGATCAGCGCAATCGTACAGCTGCAAAGTTCGTCATCATAATGATCTCATGGCAAAGCGATTGCGTACGACCATGATTGGATTTGTAGGCCTGCCAGATCGCCAACACGTGCCAACCTCGATGGCAGCTTATATGGGGATGATGCAGGCGGATCTGAGTTTTCGCCTCGTGCCACAGAGTATCGCGCATCTGCCGCACCACCATCTCCCCCGGAATCGTTCCGTCATCCGGCTTCTCCCACTGCTGGATCATATCGTCCAGAAAAATCCCCGCCCCCGGAATCCATCCGATCTGGAAATTCCTCTCCACATTACGCGCCAACATATGACACCCAACAAACCCCCAATACAATTCGGTCTCCGTCTCAATCCTTGAGAGTCCCTGGATCCCCACGCTCCGATCGGTCGTTACATTCACAAGCCGTTGAGCTTATCGAGGGTCTTCACATGCTCCTTGAGAAGAATGAGCACTGGAAGCCCCATGGTCCGATGGATGTTAGGCTTTTTTCTGTTCCCGTGTCTCAAACTGGTCTCATGTATATTTCAGTATGCTCGCTCCGTACGGAAGTGGAATATCGGTCATTCTCGCCATTGCCCTATGTCCTGCCATGACGGTTCCCTGTTCCATCGTATGCCGCAGGAAGGACTTTCTCTTGATCGAAGCGTAGCAGGTGCCCCTCCTGGTGGCGTTCAAGGGTCCCAGCTTACGGCAGACGATGTGCAGAATGGTAGGCGAATTATACTCTTGTTGACGTATGCTCCTAATATTTGTCTGTGTTTGCCAAGATTTGGAATACGTTGTGCCCGTAGTGGTCGGGACCCCTGGCCAAATAGTGCGTCTGGATTTTGACACAGTAAAAACGTCCCGATCAGAGTGGCGAGAAGTACACTGATCTTCATTGCCTTCGTCAGGGCAGTTCCGATCTTTGGGTGTGGAGTACGCACTTGCACGCGTCAACGAGTAATCTCAAGAGTCATCGTGTTTACGACCCCCGCAAGAGCTCGACTGCACGATCAATGCCTGGAATGACTTGGAAAATCTCCTACGGTGATGGGAGTAACGCAAGTTAGTCGATTCGTTCACTTTGCGTGCCGTTCGTACTGACAGTAATTGCAGGTGGCATTGTCTATTCGGATGTACTCACATTTAATAAACTGACGGTTCCTAACCAAGCCATCGAGGCTGCAGATCGTTTGAGCCCCACCTTTTTGTCTGAGAATGGTTCCGACGGCTTACTTGGTCTTGCATTTCCCATGTAAGCCGTCTGATTTTATCCGCCTTAATATCACAATCACAAGCTTGAAACCCTCAAGACTCAATACAATCAAGCCACATCCACAGAAGACCCCAGTACAACACCTGATCGAACAGAAAATTATCAGTCAACCGATTTTCTGTGCCAAATTGGTGAAAGGTGGTTCAGGGAGCTACTATACTTTCGGTTACATTCCACAAAACGTTGTGGACAGGAACCGCCGCATCACCTATGTAGATGTCGACTCAAGCCATGGGTTCTGGGAGTTTCCCTGTCCACAGTTGAGAGTTGGGCAGCACACAGTGAACCAGCGCCCGGGAAATACCGCTATTGCCGACACTGGTGAGTTCTCGTCGTTCATCATTCCACACCGTTGAAGATTTACGGTGTTACGTATAGGGACTACGGTAGGTGTACGATCGCCCTCAGTATGGACTAACCACGAAGACTTCATGTCCCCAGCTTATTTTGCTTGAGGACTCGGTACTTGACGACATCTATGGTCAAATTCGTGGCGCTCGAACGGACCGATCGGGCTGGGTTCTTCCTTCAAATGCCCATTGTCCAGACGTGTCCTTCTCTATTGGCGGAAATTTCTTTTCTATCTCCGGAGAAGATTTGAAGTTCGCGGACTCCGGAAATGGCATGAGTTTTGGGGCCATCCAAAGCCGTGGCTCCAATCGACAGGATATACTAGGAGACGTGAGTGTGATCGTCAAGTACCTCGTATGGATCTTACCTAAAGTTCACGTAAACCCCAGGTATTCCTAAAACGCGTGCTCGCCGTCGTAAGTTGTTTGTCACTGCTCCCAGACGTTGTTAACTCAGGAACCTCTTGATCAGTTTGACCAGACACCAGGGCGACCACGACTCGGGCTAGGCCAAAGGTCGTTCAATGAGAGGCCCACACAGCCTCCCTCACGGCGGGGTCGTTGAGTAATGATTTTTGGGATTTTTCTAGAATAAACAAATAGCAGCGCTGCCATCTACAAAAGCGTGTATGAATGCCACCTCAGATCCATCTAGGCCTTAGGTCGATTAAGATTTAGTAATGACTATACGTATCTACAGTGATCCTTGAGTGAACCTGATCAATCAATCAATGGTTGTCAAGACCAAATTCCATCTAGAAGCGACAAGTAAACAGGAGGGTGAAAAGAATGTGTCCTCTGGCGCTTAGCGAATGAAACCCGGCACCAAGAGATAATTATCAAGCAGCGAAAAAAGCACTTCAGGTGTCCAGACTGGTCAACAGACGACACCAGGATGGTTAAGGAATCCGCAGGGGTGAGGTACTGGAAATTGAGGTGAGACGGGTTCTGTACACATGTGAGCCTCTCCGGAACTGCGGGGCCAGATCGAGAGCGTTGTTACCAGCGGTGAAAGGTTGAGCGAGAAAAAGCACAACAACGCAGTGCCCAAAACGCGAAATGAAGAGTTAAGCGTCCATTATCGGAGGAATACGCGAATAGAGGTAAGAAAAAGAAACGTGCACCAAAAATAAGAAAAAGGAGAAACTTGAGTGTTCGAAACGAGTTGCTGATTTGATTGATATGTCGCGAAAAGAGAAAGCGAATAGATGCACGAACATTTGGTATGCCAAACGTCTTGAGATTGATGGAGAGTGCGCGGGTTGTGAGTAATGATGCAGAGATAATAGAAGAACAAGGGAATGAAATCAGCGGAGGTGAGACAGTGACGGGACAGGGGTAGGTAATAGTACATCGAGAGTTTGCTGCGTCGTTGTGTTGCAGTGGAAGTCAGAGGCGAGGACCTGAGCGGTATGCAGATGACGAGGACTATTGCGAAGATAGCTAGAGTTTTCAGAGTTAAAAGGAGTGTAGGTAGGGAGTGATGGTAATGCTGTGTTCATTTTGGCGGAAGTGACGAATCAAAATTCGCCGTCGTAATGAAGGGTAACGCTACTGAATGCATGGAACAAATCATCCCTGTGTTGCTTCCCAGTGGTTGGAACAAGAACCCCATCCTCAGTCACCCCTAGCTTACGCGAGCTTTTGGATTTTGGATTACCACTAGAAGTCTGGCCAGAAAACGAGATCCTCTCATTCTCCTTCTCGACTGGATCCTTAGGGTCAGCAACATAAGGGTCTTTCTTCTTGGGAATGATCTAATAAAGAAGACTGAGACAGGAGACACGATCTTCAAGACGAGACGCACAGGAGGTTGCATGTGACGCAGAAGCCCCCAGTTTAGAGGAGTGAACCACTTGTGCTGCTTAACTTCACTGGCGCCGCTTTTGCTCCCTAATCTCCGCCATTCATCCTTGTGAAGTAATCGGAGAATGATATCGCGACATTGTCTACGGCAGATGCATGAGTCCTCTGCATAACACTATAGGCTGTGAACTCACGGAGAGCCAGTTGTTGAGTCGGGAAAGCGGACCTCATTTGCCAAAACATTGGTAAACGTCGCACTCCGATCACGTCCCTTGAAGGGTGTTGTTGCGTACTAAGAAAAGATTTAGCTTCAACATGTATCAAACCCACGAACGACCCACAATCATCTCATAGATGAGGATCCCCAATGTCCACCAGTCAACAGAGGACGTATGCCCAAGGTTCTTGATGACTTCAGGAGCAATGTACTCTGCGGAGGTAATTCAGGTCTCAGGAAAAAGGGTACGGAAGAAGGGAAGATAACAAGCCTTCTGTCCCCACAAACGAGTTCGTGCGCAAATGGGCAGTACATGACTTGGTGTCAACCAGCGGTACGCCGGGCGTAACACCAGTCACAATACTCGCAGGATTCCCCCCTGGTTCACCCGAAGCTTTAGCCAAGTCGAAATCCGAAAGCATGATGTGGCCAGACTCGTGCAAAAGAATGTCTTCATAGCAAACATCAGTGTCCATCCTCATCGTCCGAAAAAGTGAATGACCTACTTTCTGGTTTAAGGTCGCGATAAATAAAACCAAGTAAATGCAGATACTCGAGGGCCGCAACGACCTCCGCGGCGTAGAATCGGGCATCCTCCTCTGCCAGGCATTTCGATGGTAACATCTGCAACTGCCGGAAAAACTCTCCACCTGAGCAATACTCCATGCAGAAGTACAAGTAATTGTCGGACTGAAAAGAATGATAAAGTGTAATGATGAATGGATGGTTTGCCGTTGCTAGAATCTCTTGCTCAGCCAAAGCACGTTTGATCTTCTTGCGTGCAATCATTTCCTTTTTCGAGAGCACTAAAGAGAACAAAGACCGCTCCGTTTAGGTCACACAGTGCAAAGTATAGCATGAAAGCTCACACCTTTCATTGCATAGAGCTTCTCCGTGGCCTTATGCTTGACGAGATACACCTTGCCGACATCCCCGCGCCCGATGAGCCGAATCTTAGCAAAACTACTTGGTCCAACTTCAACCTGAATACGAAGTGAAAAAAAGGGTCGAAGAGAAGAAAAATCCATTTAGTTTTTCTTGCTTTGCCGAACGTTGAAACATGTGCAGCGAACCCACCGCTTTGACTTTGATGGAATTGCTGGAGTACGTCCTTCGGAACCGCGCGCGCGCCTCATCGACACCAGGGGACATGCCGACGGATCCTGATGCGACACTATTCGCTCTCGACCCACGTGCCGATCGCAAACCATATTTCGAAGCATACCGCGATGACGAAGAGGAAGTCGTATCCAATGAATCACCATTCTTCTTCTTAGGTGAGTCAACAGGTGCATTAGGGAGTGGAGGAGGAATCAAAAGCTCCGCAGGAGCGAGCAACCCATTTATGGTAACAGGGGGAGTGCTTTGTCTGCTACCAGGGACGTTAAATAAGTTTTTCGCGTTAGGGGCAGAAGCAACGCGTCGAATAAACCGTGTGGCAGCGTTTGGTCGTTTGACGCCTTCCGGCTTAGCAGGAGTGTTCTGATTTGAGCGCATTGACGTACGGCCCTTGCGCTTCATAGTATCAGCTGTTGCCGGTGGACTAGTTGACCGAGGACTCTCGAATGTAGGCGTTTGGGGGAAAAATTGGGTTTGTGATGCATCGGGTGTAGTGGTCAAGTTGAAACGTCGTTTCGAAGGCGAACGGCCTAGGAAACGCTGCGAAAGCGATTTGGAAGATGTTTTAAGAGACAGCTTTGGTGTTTGTAACGAAGCAGAACGAGATTGCGCACGCGATGGCGGACTGGAAACTGGAGGTGTTCTGGGACTTGTTGGCGTATCAAGTCGGGCACTTCTGCGGGGAGGGGAAGTCGAATCGCTTGAATGTGACGGAGACGAATTGTCATAATATGGCTCTTCTCCCGATGGTCTCGACAATTCTGAAGGGTACGTAGATGCTGAAGGAGAGTGATATGGTGCCGTATTCAGAGATGGGCGAGGGATAGGTGGATGAATGCCATTGGCATAAGCACCTGGAGTACGGTCGCCCTCTTGATCATCAAAATCTGTCCCATTGATGTGTACGCTAGGCGTCGGGGTATTCTCGATGCCTGGGCCATATTTCCGCTTGGTATCCTTGCGGAAACGAAATACAGACTTCCAAGAAGGTCCAGGGGATATTGATGAAGGGGTTGTCGCAGATACAACGCCTTGACGATGGTACAGAGGGGATCGAGGGGAGAGAACAGGCATACCTAGGTGGTGAAGGGAGCGAACACGAGCTGTCCGCTACAGCTTGCGGCTAAGCAAACTGGTTTTGGGAAGGGAAAGGTGGTTGGAAGTCGGGCCCGGTGATAAGCCATCGGATTTAATCCCAATGTCCGCCCAGGCGTACCTTCAATAAAGTTTAATTATAAAGACACCCACATCTTTCAATCTCATTTCTCCAGCATATTTCCTCATTCGGTTTGGTTACGAGTTGTAAATAATCTCGTTTCTTTTCCATCCGTGCCGATCTAGTCGACCTTTGCCGCATGCATACCGAGGATTAACCAATATACATGGGTAAGACGCTGAGTGCTGCATTGAAGCTCTAAACACTCTCCAAGTTTGTTGACTTCTTCAACTTAGACCCAGGGTAATCAACATGCGCCGGTCCCAATTCCCGCTGGTTGCGGGCCGTGAGCCAGCAAAAGCGATCAAGCGATTTGATAGTCACACACAACTACAATGGGCATCTTCTGATTCTTCCCTGCTGTCAAGCAGACATAAATCGTATGGCATTCAATAGAATCCTATTTGGAGCAAATTCTTTGATACAAGTACCTATCCCGGATATATTCTCACAAGGGCGGACACCCTTTTCTCAATCCAACGCTTTTCTTTACAAATTTTGAGAAAATTACCCAAAAAAGGATAAATCGGGTTCACTCGACTTCTATTTCATCCATCGGTAAGCAAGCACCCCCAGTTTGAAAATATGGACATACCCCATCACTGAGACGATCCCCCCGAATAATCCCAAAGAACGGTCTTGATCTGTGTGTAGTTGTCAATTGCATACGATCCGAGTTCACGGCCTATGCCGGATTGCTTGTACCTGCGACAAAAATAGAAGATCATTAAAATGTTGCTGATGCGGGGCAGAGGAATCGCCACACCCTCCAAATGGTGACTGGGACGACAGTACAATATGAAATTGCACGTCAGCAACGTAGACCTCTTTCCCACAAGGGTGGGTAAAGGGTGAGAGTTTTGATCGCACCTGGTTGTAAAGAAGTCCGTATTGATTCACCCAAACGGTCCCCGCTTCCAAGCTCGCCTGAACACGCTGACATTGATTCGCGTCACCTATTAGAACATGAGGAAAGTTTGGGGTTCCACCAATGAAAGAGAGAAGCGGGTTTTCACTTACTCGAGTGAAATCCTGCACCCAAGCCGTATGTCGTATTGTTCGCGAGTTCGATCACCTCCTCTTCCGTGTTGAACTTGGAAACCACCAATACTGGTCCAAAGATCTTAACCCCGACAAACGATGACCGCAAATCATCAGAATATCGATGATGGATAAAGAGGATAATAATCAAGCGAACCTCTTCTTTGACAACTTTCATGTCCGGAGTGACATCACCAATGACTGCGCAGGTCATGTAAGCGATCGAGAACAACCGACGGGACGTATACTATCTCCCCAAAGGAGAAAGCATCCGAAGATATGATTTACTTGTTGGAAGATAGTACCATCCTTTGCCTTCCCACTTGGTACCACCATAGAGAATCGAAGCTCCAGCTTCCTTCGCGCCCTCCACATAATTAACGACCTTGTCACGTTGAGCCTTGCTAACAAGTGGACCTCCGAGGGCTCCTTCCTTGAAGTTATCCCCGTAACCAGCCGTCCATTCCTCGGCGGAGGCTTTAAGTTCCTTCAAGAAGGCATCGTACACGGAAGCTTGGACGTAAAGTCGAGACCCAGCACTGCAATCCTGGCCCTGGTTCAGGAAAATACCTCCAGTGACATGGGTCGCCGCTGCAGTGAGGTTTCAATACATCAGAAACCTGAATTCAAATCTGACATGGCAACAGTGCAAATTGTCATTGCTCACCATCTTTCAGATTAGCGGATTCAAAAATGATGTGCGGGCTCTTGCCTCCCAATTCAAGTGTGACCTGGTTTGAGGGTACAAATTTGCAGTTTCAGCGTCCAGACTATCTATTTGATGCGAGAGCTAGCACCTTTTTCAGGTTGCTAAGCGCAGCAGCCTGCATGATCTTTCTCCCAGTGAGAGTGGAGCCGGTAAAGGCAACCTTATCGACATTGAGATGCGAAGCCAAAGCAGCGCCCCCAATCGGCCCGTAAGAGGGCACGCAGTTGAACACCCCTGGCGGGAATCTTCGAGACAGGAACATGTATGTAAACTTCGATTCGAGAGAAATCCTTAATTTGCTTACCCTGCTTCCGCGACTAGTTCACTGAATTTCTGCGTGAACGCTTCAATGAGGCACAAGCGAAGGATGGTAAGTCCAATGAGTTACGTACCAAAGCAGGCAACGGCGTGAGCTCTGATGGCTTAAGAATGACGGTGCAACCAGCAGCGAGGGCGGGCCCGATCTTCCAAGCCCTGAGCGCACTTTGAGTTTCACAGCCGCCGGAGGAACGATCGGACTCACAGCATCATGATGTTGTAGTTCCATGGAATACTTAGGAGTGATGAGCCATGATGTTGTCAACCTTAGAAACCTGTATATGGAAGCGTACATTTGGGCACAAACCCCAAACGGCTCGACGCGGGTGGAGGCTGACTTGAGGCCTTTATCATCCACCTCAATAGTCTATTGGGGATTCGTCAGGGCGATGGTCCAGAACCCCTGGATAGGACCTGATATGAACCTGCCCAAAAATCTTGTCGGCCCAGCCAGCGTAATATCTGATGGATCATATTGAGCAATACAACCATCAGCGAGAACATATATAAGCTGTCTCATACCGAATACACGCAATTGAATCAGGCAGATCCACCTCCCTGGCTACCTGTGCGCTCTTGCCATTGTCCAATGCTTCGAGGCCAGCAAACGCTTCAGCATCACGTTCCAGAAGATCGGCTAACCTATTCAACAGCTTTCCACGTTGCACAGGTGGGAAGTTGCGACCCCATACGGTTTTGAACGCATTTCGAGAAGAGGCGACGGCGATATCAATGTCCTGTTCTGTAGCTATAACCGAACCGCCACGCACGTTTGGTCAGGGCGGCATCGTGAACATGTGGAACAGGGGTAGAGATAGGGACCGACCTGAAGAGACGGTCGCTAGAAGCTCCTCGGTGACAGGATTGATCGAACTATTTCATTGCAGTTTTTTCTAATTAGGCCTCTAAACGACGGCAACACTAACTCAATAGTAGCACCCTCAACGGAAGGAACGAATTTATTGTCCTGAAAGCAGGTATCAAAACTGATGTTCCGATGAGCATCTCCTGTCCGCTGCAACTCACAATAAATAGACCTGTTGGAACATCTAACTTGCGCCCATTTGGGAAAGCGAGGTTGACAACGGCCGGGATCTGCTTGGCCATGAGGGAAACTCGGTGCCGAAAGTTGTTGCACAAGGGAGCCCGACAGAGCAGCCCCACTTCTCGACCACGTGCAGAGGATGTACGATAACAATATCATCCTTGATCAGGCCAATAGCAGGAGTGCAAGCAAGGATATTATATACACAACGAATCCGGATAAGGACGGCAACGACTTGTTTGTCATAGAGGCTGGAGTCCTGCCTAGGGAACGACTACATTAGCTTATTGCATGTCCACGATGCTGCTTCCTGCTCCTTGAAGGGTTTCGGCACCCCAAACCTCCATTCTTCGAAGCACCAGCAGGTCAGTTCAAAAAGCAGACACGCTGCATCCTTAAAGTCAGGGAACAAGATCAAGGAGTTTGTATTATCTCCTCAACTTCCATTACATTATACTGTGGCGCCAACTGCAGCAATTGCTCTCCCGACACTAGTGCCATCGATGCTATCGACGTTCCTGAATTCCATATGCTTTCAGAACTTCGTCCCCAACAGACGATGGGCTCTTGAACAACGGATCAGTTCCTCCAGCCGTCTTGGGAAACGCGATCACATCCCTTATTGAAGAAGTGTTACACAGAATGGTCATGAGACGATCGAACCCTGCCATAACAGATGCCGATTAGCACGACTGCAGGAGTGTGGGTAAGATTGTATGAATAACCTAGGGCGATGCCGCCATGAGGTGGCGCTCCGCAGCGGAGAGCATGTACTAACGGCTCGAAGGGTTCTCTCTCTTCCCTGGAGAGCTGTGAAGGAATTTTTTCAGTGAACCCCCGTTGAGTCGTGTGCAGGACATTGACATACTTGAAGGACTTGCTTGAATACATACTCTTGAAGTTCAGCATCATGGATACGGACAGATCCACCCCCTATCTCATTTCCGTTAAGAACAAGGTCATAATGCTGGCCGCGAACCTATCGGAATCAGCGCAGAAGAAAATCATCAGCGGTGTTAGAAAACAAATGAACCGAAAACCTCGTACGTTAGCCGGGTTGATAGTCCCATCTAACAATCCTTCCGCGTCTTCCCACATTGGGGCAGTGAACGGATGATGGGAACTACTCCAGCGACCGTGGCCCAGGAAAGCATCTTTATCCGCATCAGCACGGGTAAACAAAGGAAACTCTGTAATCCAAAGAAAATTGGGTTCGTGCGGCGGCGAATAGCCTTTAAGGTCACCCGCAGTGTAAGGGCACGAAGACGGATTCCGTACGGCTGAGACGCACCAAGTTTTGCAGCTTCATCTGCCAAGCGAAGCCTTGTCCTCCCGAGAAGAGTCGATCCACCCTGTGGTGATAGTTGGATAAGGACGTATTGTTCAAGACAGGAAAGAGATAATCACCTCAAGCCGCTTTTCCCTCAGCGCCAAGAACAAAATGTCACCAGGTTGGAGTGATGCCAGGGTATCGGGACGATCAAACCCGTGGTTCACATCACCAACCCCGGTCACCGCGTGGCACAGCAAATTGGAGCCCTTCCACCAGTTATGCTGATTCTCCGAGGCGATCATGATGCGCTCCGCCTAGTTCGCATGTCGAAGCGTCAGAATGAGCTCTCGAACAGGGACCTTTGAACCACACCTGGCAGTCATTGAGGCCTAACGCCACTTCCGAGGCTTCTGATGCAGCTTTGGAGAAGGCAACTTCCGTCATTGCAGAAGACTGTTGGCTGCCTCTGATGATAATACATTCCAATACTTTGTCCGAGGCATCGAGAAGCCCGGCAACCGGCTCGGGGAGCAGTGGCGCAGCATTCTGGATCTATTGGGACCGGGTCACAGGATATAGACGGCTTCATCGGGGCGGAATTAGCCTCACCAAGCAACCAAATCGCGTATCAGGTTTATCAGACCCATACTATCCCAAAAGAACGATTGGCATCATGAGTGTAGGGACAGCTGAGTGACATGCGAGGGGGATCATACCTTAGCCATAGCTTCCTCATACGTCAGCACGTGGAAATTTCGATCTAGCTCCATGCCCTTAACTTCACGCCAAACTTGTCTTATGATGCCTTCGACAGTATCTTTGACTTCTCGCCCTCCAATTCTCCATCCGTCTTGATGTTGACCGTTATGATCGCCCCATGAAACCCAGGCCATCTCCATATCAACTTGGGTAAATTCGGGCTGCCTGTCTTTCCTGCCATCTTCATCTCTAAAACATCGAGCAAATTGATAGTACCGGTCAACACCACCCGAAATAATCAGGAGTTGTTTAGGTTGTTGAGGCGACTGTGACAGGGCATAGAAGTGGGGACCAATGGTTGCGGATGACGCGCCATTTGTGGGGGAAGCCGATGCAGGTAATCGGGCGGGCACAAGGAATTCTCGCGCCCCTTCGGGCGACGAACGCAACAGCATCGGGGTTTCGATTTCAGTAAACCCTGATATGAGATGTAAGGCTGAGAAGTCACTCTCAGCACGCCAAGGATATCATTGCCATTTACCGCTATCTGCCAGATGTGACCGTATAATGTTCGCGACCTGACTTCGAGTTCGGAGATTCTGGGAAAGATAATCTCGTCTCAAATCCAAGTAGCGATATCGAGATCGCAAATTCTCATTTGCCTTCGATATAAAAGTCAGCGAGCGCGCAGTTGAAAGCATGTTCATTTTCCCTACAAGATTCTGGAGATCTGACGGGTAAAATGGGAGTTCTCGTTCTGCCGCATTTAGAACAGTGACATCATCCAAGATCACTTCTACCCCTCCTGTTTCTTTCTAATTCAACTATCAGCTATGCGTGAGAGACAAATACATGACTGGCAAGCTCACGTCTCGCTGAGCTTGTTGTGGCCGTGTTTTCACTCTGCCCTGAATTAGCAATGTAGACTCCAAAGGCACGTTAGATAGCTCTTCAATAATGTTCCGAGAAATCGGTGAAAAGGACGGAGCCGAAGAGCCATCCTTGGAAGCATCATGACGAGGCAGCCGCGCAACTAACTGTGTGGTTCCGAAGCTGTCTTTCAAGGAAAAGAAAGCCATACTCTTCGATATCTTCCTTTCTATCAATTACGAAAACTAATTAAACTAGCCAAAAAGATGAATGCGCGTACCTAATAGAGGTGAGCCATCCTGTTAGAATGACCTGCTCTCCGTCATGCTCAGGTCCCAGTCCCCCGCATGTATGCGTCCGAGGAGGATATGGTCCTAAAATCAAGCAGAAAATTCAAATATAACACGCATTAGCTACGTTTGCGACTCACTTCTGTGGGCCAGTGCTCGGCCAGCGCTGCTCGAAAATAAGCGCTTCATCGAGCGTGAGAATAAAGTGTGACTGACAAGCGTCACAAATGAATCAAGCTCCCAAATGGTGGAATGAAACATATAATTGAGAGAGTAGAAAAATCACGGAAATAAGTAATTATATCGTTGTGATGAACAATATTAGAGTCTGGCGTTATACTAGGATGTAGAAGTTATATTATGTATGTAGCGCTCAATTCCAGTTACATAATATGTGAATTCAATGCATTGTAGTTACCTACCGTGCGCTAGGAAGCTATTGCGCGAGTTTAAGCCATCTCCAAGAAAGGGCCGGAATGACGGACATTGACAATGTAAGTGTCTGTGCGCTACAACTGTCCTATAGTGAGAAGGCCACACTACCCAAGAAGTTATACGCTCAGCCCCGTAGTACGTGAACTGAGGAAAGACGTAGAATGAATATACATATTATTAGAGACAAGGTCGACGTCCCACCATTATGGCGCACGGACTCACCAGCCGCAGTGGATTGTCCATTATTCCCCATTTATCCTTCTTGTTGATAGGCGGCGTTGTAGGCTTAAAAGCCACTCGTCGCGACTGTTTTTCTCTCTCTCCTCAGTTGCACTATCGTGAACTGAGGTGAGGTCTCTTTTCTTGGTCTTATTAGACCTTTACTTAACGTCTTTCATTGTCTAGCGCTAGTCTATTACGCTAGTTCTCTCACACATCTGGAGTGCGCACCAGCGTGGTAGCGAGTTTACCAAGAAAGCTCCGTGGATCGGATCACAACGTACGTCGAATCCCAAGAAAATTAACAAGCAACGGCGCGCGGCTGGGCTTTGCTGGTATTGTGCGATTCCTCACATTTTGTTGGAATACAAGTCATATTGGTGCCGCTTCGGCAACATGTCAGTGGTGAATTATTGGGGTTATAAGACGCTTACCAGAGTTCAGCTTCTTGCGCCAGAAAACCTGCTTGACATTGATGAGAGCGGCAATTTTCTAATATTCGCCTCGAATGTCTGCAAGGCGATTGAGTGATCTCTTTTCATATCGGAAGGATAATCTCATATCACTCCATATATTGATCAGTCTAAGCCGCAAGGGGTACCAGGTGTAGCATAAACCATGCAACCTCGTGACGGCGGTGCCTCATTTTTCCGCTCGCTCTACTCGCTCCCATGCATCCATACACCATAATACATGATTAGTTAGATGGCGCACCGTAGTGTAGAGGGAGAGAGTGTGGTAGGGACAGTGGCGGACTAGGCGCCAAATCGAGACCCCAACTGGATATATATCCAACAACATATTCTCTACTGGCACTAGAACACAGCGGTTTCCAGGCTGTAAACCTCAGTTATGATGTGCGTCAAATCGAAACACTAGTCATGAGTGCAGGACATCATATCACTGCGTAGAGCGATTTCTCAGTCCGGAATTTCCGGCTCTACTGCTTGCCGGCGTGGCTGTGCCGGCATCCTCTTCTCACACTCGGCTTACGAAGAGCTGAACATCCGTTTCCTCGCCACTCCCATCTACGTAGGCACACCTCTATAACTATCGCCCATCAGCCAAAAAAAAACAAATGTCGCCCCATCCAGTCACCGAATTCATTTCCCCGAGCGCATGGGCGTTGGTCGAGGATAAATTCTCCCCGTTTGCACTAGAGACGCTAGGGGAACTCTGCAACTTTGTGAAAAATGACGTTATTCCTGCTTCAAAAGCATATCATGCGAGCATATCCACTGATCCAGCTAAGCGATGGAGGACAGTCAGCCCTGTTATGGTTGACCTGAAAGTCAGAGCTAAGCAGCTTGGGCTTTGGAACCTATTTCTGAGCAAGGCCCATTACCCTGACGTCGGCGTCCCTCTTACTAATCTCGAGGTCATTATTTCCGTACCACCCTCCATCGATGTTTGCTGACAAGGGTTTTAGTACGCCGTCATGGCCGAAGTCATGGGAAGGACAGGCCATATCGCTCCAGAAGCAACAAATTGCTCTGCCCCCGACACAGGGAACATGGAGGTCCTCGCCCGATACGGGAGTAAAGAACAAAAGAGGGTTTGGCTCAATCCATTGTTGAACGGAGAGATTCGGTCCGCGTTCGCCATGACCGAGAAAGGCGTAGCTTCCTCTGACGCGACGAACATCGGGACCTCTATTCGTCAAGAGGGAAACGAAATCGTCATTAACGGGCACAAGTGGTGAGTAGAAACAGTCGGATTGAATGAAGCATTGACATATTTGTTTGTTCCCTAGGTGGATTTCGGGGGCAACAGACGTCCGATGCAAAGTTCACCTGGTCGTTGGCAAGTCTGACCCCCATAACAAAAATCGATATGTGCAACAGAGTATCGTCGTCGTTCCCGCAAACACTCCGGGTGTCAGAATTATTAGACCAATGCAAGTGCTTGGGTACGATGATGCACCGGAGGGGCATGCCGAAATAATATACGACAATGTGCGTGTTCCTATCGGCAACCTTGTCGGTGGTTGGGGGCGCGGATTTGAAATACTCCAGGGTCGTTTGGGGTGAGTACTGACGCATTATATTTCATACTGATTGAAATGTCATTGTCATTCTAGACCAGGACGGATTCACCACTGCATGCGTTCCATTGGTCTTGCTGAATCTGGTCTGGCACTCATGCTAGAGCGTGTAACGGACCCGAGGAGGACCACCTTCGGGAAGTTCCTTTACGAACACGGCACCGTCGTGGCGGATATTGCTCGATCTCGTGTCGAGATCGATGCTGCCCGTCTACTTGTCCTGAGTGCGGCTCATCAGATTGACAAGGTTAGGGCAAAAGGCGCTATGAAGGACATCGGAATGGCAAAAATTCTTGTTCCTACTGTGGCCTTGGGTGTTCTGGATCGAGCTATTCAGAGCTTCGGCGCCGAAGGGTTGAGCCAGGACCAGCCATTAGCGCACTGGTACGCTGGACTCAGGACGTTAAGGTTCGCCGACGTAAGTGCCTCCTTCGGTTTTAAGGACTTGAATCAATTAAGCGGATTTTGCAAAGGGACCCGATGAAGTACATATTCAACAACTGGGAAGAAATGAACTCAAGCGTGCCGATGGTCTCAAGAAGCGGAGACTAGAGATTAAGGCTCAGGAGGACAACATTGCTGCGAAGTATAAAGCCAAATTGTAAATCTTTGAGAATGATTTTTGTATTCCGCCTCGATCTCCGGTGTATTGCCATTTCCATGCTGCAACTATCCAAAATATCCATTTCCCACAGCATCGATTGTCCGAGAGCGGATCTGACAGGTAGAGTATTGGCAGTATATCGCCATGTTAATTGATATTGAGCTTGGCGTAGCTGCTACGATTTGCTTCCGCGTTTGCATTTAAAGCCTCGAATCTGGGATCGAGTTACACCCCTCGCACGCGACGTTCACTGTCCGATCTTGCGCAGACGCTATAAAAGAGCTATATAACATTGGGTCTATTCAATTACCTGATTTTCTTCGGACGCGAATTTGAGCAGCTTTCGACTACACCATGGCAGACGAAGGTCGTGGCGGTGGTGGGAGCTCCAATGATGAGGATCTTTCTTTACCTCGAGCGACCGTACAAAAACTCATTTCCGGTAAGCACAACTCTTTCCACCGTATTCGATATATCCACAAGGCAAACACCATTAGTTGACTCGATTAGCACAAACTGCATGATCGGGTTTGGTGTTTTGCCGGATTCTTTTGGGTCAGCTTACGCCTAATCGCAAACAACACTGACCGAAAATTTATGTGAAAGGAAGAAATACTGCCGAAGGACATTGTTTGCGCGAAAGAAACTCGAGATTTGATTAGTGAATGTGGTGTTGGTATGTCTATTTGAGCTTATGTGAGGTCGGCATGAGAATTCACGTTAGTATTGCTTTTTCCACCCCTCCATTCCTTTATTCAGAATTCATCCATCTTATCTCTGCCGAGGCAAATGAGATTTGTGAGAAGGAGTCAAAAAAGACCATCGCTCCTGAACATGTTCTCTCAGCTCTCAGGGTATGGATGCATCATTTATCCTTTGGAGGAACAGTCCAATCATTTCTTTCAAGGAATTGGGATTTGAGAAATATATAGAAGAAACCGAGGAAGTGTTGAAGGATCATAAGCAACAAGTGAAGGCAGGTTGGTTTAACCTAAACAAGGGTACCCATTCTTACAACATCACGATAGGAGCGAGAGAAGAAAGGTTCCAAGTGGGAACAAACCGGTCTTACTGAAGAGGAGTTGCTAGAGCAGCAGGAGCAGCTCTTTGCTGCAGCACGAGCACGGTTTGAGGCCGCCGGCGGAGCAGCAGGGCCAAGTGGGTCTAGCTAATTGGCATTTATTGATAACTCTGAAGTGAAGAGCGATTTTGAGATAATTTATTCCTGACTCTGGACGCCTTTTGGATGTTGGAGCATGTACTATCTGTAGGACCCAATTCTGTAATACCCCACCTTGTGATAGTCCACCCCAAGTAATGATACTGATTGGACGCAAATGGAACATTACAGTAGTAGAGAAGGTAGGAAATATTATGACAAGCGACTTTGTCGACTTAACCAAGGTCAAAATGAAAACACGAAGAGAATGGATGTCAAGACAGATGTCAAGGCAGCATGACGGATCAACAAATCAAAATAGGGAAGAAACGCGAAGGTACAGTAGAGTTCAGTCCGGAGCAGGTGTCAGTGAAGAAAGAAGGGATGGGAGAAGTAAATCCAGCAAGGATGAGTGCAAACGAAATGAAAATAGATGTCGCCAAATTGTAGGTAACGGGTATACAATAGGGGGAAATGCAATTACAGGATGGATTCGTGCAAATAGAATACCCACGATTTTAAGTAGAAAAACAAAAGACATTCAGTAATTCGAAACTTATAGCACATTTGATGGGACTGAAGCCTAATAATGCTACTTGTTGATGCAAGTGGAAGGCTGATGTAGATGTGGCTTGATGTGATAACGGATGTTTTGGGGCGGTTATGGATACAGTTAGATGGCCCGGCTCAGAAAAGGTCACGCAGGCTAGGAGGGACTTCGGGCTAAGGGAAGATATAAGTTGTGGAAGCGGGAAGCAACAAAAGTTGGGAGGACTTACGCATTTTATTCTGATGAAGCCCCCGCCAAGATTTTCCGTCAGAGCTTGGTCGAAGACGAAAAATCCCTCTCTCACTCACTTGTAGAAACACTCAATCGACCGCAACATCTCCACGTCGCCACCAGTAGCAGTAACAAAGTTAACGACCACGCCAGGGCGTTGCTGGTTTGAAGTTGAAGCAGGAGCAACACTGTCAGCTTATAGAGTCAGATTCCTGTCACATCCTTGGTGCTGAAATACCAACCAGTGAGCGTACTCCTCAACAGCTTTTGGGAGATCTGTGGGAGACGGGTCAGTTTCAACCTGCAAATTCAGGCCTTAACTCACCGTAGTTGACGACTAATGGGACATGGAAAGAATCTGGCAATTTAACTGGGGCGTCGAAAACCACGAGGACTCGGGTGACAAGAGGCCGTCCAATCCTGTCTTGAATATCATCATTATGGCGGAATTTACTGAGGGCCGCAGATTTTGTTCCTGAGTTCATGTCGTTGTGCTGGGAGGATAACGGAGATCAGTCAGTACCAACCTTGTATCAGACAGACACATACAAATGCAACAGTGTCTAAACCGCGGCTTCCAAGTTTATACATGACACTATCAAGAGACGCGCCACTTCCAACATGAACAATTGCGTAAGGTGGATCGATGTCATCGAAGAGATCGGCTAACGCATCGAGCTTCCATTCCTTTGCTTGAACCGTCTCTGCGTTAGAAACGCCACGGCCCGAGCCAATGACACCAGCAGCATGGTTTCCATTGCTGGAGTCGAGGCGCCCACCGGAAGTGAAAGCCAGGTAAAGGTAGAATTGGCGTAATGCACGTGGACCTTGAGCTCCGTCTCCATGCGCAGCATTCCCATCTCGCCGAACAAGCACGCGCACTGGTTCTCGGAGTTGGATGTTATTCGCAAGGCTGAGGACATCCTGCGGAACGGTGTTTGAGAAAAGAGCGGTCTGTCGCTCAGGAGAAGCAGGCGCAATCAGAGGCAGGTTCGAAGTGCGAGTTCCTGGTTTCTCGCCACCGCTGTTGCTTCCAGCCTCAGGATTACCAATGATGGAGAGGGTTGAAGAGAACCGGACTGCGCCGGGGCCCGCAGGGGATGAGGAACGGGCTCCTTCATTGTTCGAGACTTGATCAAAAGGGCTGAAAGTGGTGTGAGAGTTGGGTAATGCGTTCGCAACGGGTGCCACACTCCCAGCTACCGCAGCCACTCTAGGGCGAGGCGAAGGGAAGAGTTTAACAATGTTAAAAACGAATTCATGTAGGTTGCGCGCAATGAGTTGGTCGACCTCATCGAGCACTAAGAAGCGAACCTCTTGGCCAGGAAGACCACCAGGGGATGTGAATAGCGCATGAAGCTTCTGCGGCGTCCCACACAGGATGTGCGGCATGCTCTGTTGCAACAGGCGAAGCTCTTGCACGACGTCTCCGCCAGTACCAACACCAAGAGCGGAGCGAACGCCAATGGGACCACCGAGGTCTCGAACCATCCTTTGAGCTTGAGTGGCTTGATCAACAGTAGTGGAAATGATAACCACGAGAGGTCCGCGGTTGAACGGTTTGTTGGCGATGCTTGTCAAAGCCACGTGGATCGCCGGAATCACGTACGCAGCGATGCGCTCCTGAGTTGGAGGGGCTTGAGCGATAATATCCGAACCGCGAAGAAGGAAGGGAAGGGCCCGTTGCTGGATCTTATTTGGTGGACCAACACTAGGTCATAAAGAAATTACCGATTTGTACCTAGCATGTTCAAAATGACAACTTACCCATACTTTGCAATGGAACGCAGCAAATCAGGGAATAAAGGCAACTGCTCCCATTTCGTAATAGCAGGACCGGTATCGCGTCCACCAGATGCATTGTCGCTATCAATTGTCTACGGAGGCTGATTAGGCAGTGCCAACGATATAATCGCGAAAGCATGACTCACTGAAGTTGAATCCCTTCGCACCACTCCCAGAGACGCTTTGCGCTTGTCCTTTATTAACTGCCCAAAACCGGGAAGGCCAGCATCGCTGGCACTCCTTTGCATCAAGTCTGAGCTGGTAGCAGACCACTGCCGTGAGGGAGGCGCCCGATTGCGATGAGTAACCATCCCAACCTCGGGACGGCTTGGCAATGCATGGACTTGGTGGGACGCAAGTCCAACGCCTTGCACTGGCCCGACATTTTGAGCATTGGACGGACTCAGAACGTTAGCAAAACTCAAGCTATGCTGCTCGACATTATTATTAGGGTTCTGAGTACCAATATTACCGTTTGCATGAATGGCGGTGACATTATTCATATGTTGTTGCGTTTGCAACGCCAACAGCTGGCTCACAGACGTCGTCAGGGTGTTGATTCGCTGCTGAAGGACGCGAATCTCATCTTGATTGTGCAGGGCATTGCCACCCGGCAGCCGCGACTGACTGAAGTTCGCAATGGAGCCATTCCTGCTCGGCATACCGGGATCATTGGGAGTTGCATCCGCCAAGGCCCTCTCAACGAGGAAGTTAACTTTACGCGTCACGTCTCCAAGTTCGCGCTGTATCTCCTTAGTCGAGTACTCGCAACGGAGCAAGCGATCGAGAAGATCATTGACAAAAGGTGACGCCTTAACCTGGGATTCAAACGACAGGACATTTGGTTGCGTGTCAAAACTAGAAGGTGGCCGTTCGAAGGCACCACTGGTGGTAGAGAACGACATAGACGAAGCACGACTAACCGTGTTGCGGTCATTCAATTGGGGGAGGATGAACGATGAACGATGAAGAGTGTTGTTAATGGTGTCCGATAAATTTCGGGGCCAGGATCCTCCACTGTGGCTATAGATGCAATGGATGAGGTGCGGTTCATCCCGTTGAAGGAATCAAATGCGATGGAGGAGGGGCGGGAGGGTAACGAAGGCCGGGCGCTAGGCGTAAGCCCAAAATTCACACTATTAGGCAGGAATTCTCGCCCACTCAAGGTATGGAGGGAAGAACGGTGTTGGTCAGACTCGTGAGCGAGATCAACGGATCCGGACAAGCTGCTCGTGCCACGGGACTCGCTAGGTGAGACACGAGATTTATCGAGGCGACCAAACCAGGAGTCACGTTTAGAGGGCTCAGCGAAGAGCCACCCAACTGAAGCGGAGGGCGAGTGGTCGAATCCTTCTTTGAACTGAGAGCGGTAGGAATAGAATTAGTGAATTGATAATCCTCTTGTTGACGGCGATTACTGGTCAAGCCCCTGGAATCGGAGGAATCAACAGAAGAAAGTGTCACATTATCTTCAACGTCCTTGTTCGGAGTTGCGAGTCCACTTGAAAATGAAGCAGACCCGAAACCCCGGGGAACCATATTGGGAGAAGACCGATGCACCGTGCCACCATCTCTGTAAGACTCACGAGAATTGAGACCAGTGAGAGAATAATCTTGGAACAAATTGTTTTGGGTGGGGCTGGGATCAGACGCGTAACCGGGGAATCCGGTCGAACTCGTCAAGCTTGAGATACCCAAGCTAGATTTGGTGCGGAATTCCTCATCCGACGAATGGCTCTGCGTGTGGGCGATGGATGACGGAGAACTGGACATCGTTTGACGGTCGTTGAAATCCCCTGACAACGGCGCTCTCTGCTGATTTATCGGGAAAAAGGGCTGCGAGGTCGGGTTCAAACTCTGAAGGGCCCTCGGACTGTCCGTCATAGTTTGGTATCAATTATCCGCCGTTACCGGTATAGAAACGAACGCTTGGGAGGCTAGACGGACAAGAGTGGCTTGAGTCGAGCTGTTGACACCACACGCGCCAGGGTCATCCCTTTTGGAGAAACACGCCTGATGCGCATCGAGACGGGGAGGCAAAAACGCGCGCTCACCTCTAAAAACAAACGAACGAAAAGAAATGGTGACAGCGGGGTTGAGGGAGGGGAGGATTAACCTGCGTTCGTTGATTTTTCTTTCTAGATTGATCTCAACCCAAACTTCCGTCGCCCTGCCTCATGAATCGGCAACTCGCACATATACAAATTCAGCATCCGCCATATTCCTTAATGGGCCGGGCACGTTGCAGGGTTAGAAGCAGCCGCCATCCGCATGCGGCACAACACAAAACATGGACCGTGGAAGATACAAGGGATGGCAACATTGGAAACATTCAAAAAATGGGCATTATGGTTGGAACACAAAGCGGAAGATACGCAACGAACGATCCTCGGAGCAAACCGCAAGATCCAGATTCTCGCCTGGGTCCGTGCCCCCCGGTCGCCATCCTAAGCGATGAACCTGATCAGCATGGGCAATGCTGCCCAAGGGAATAGTTAATGTCGGGTAACACAATACAAACGAACGGAAATAGGTATCACCTGGCATCAAGTGTTAACTCAACTTCCCATTTACTTGCAGCGTTAAGCGGCGAGACATACACGGCAACCTCTCCATTTTCAAATCCGACTGCCATTCTCCGTCTACGTTCAGACTATGTTAGTGGGTCATAAGCTAGGAGATATCTAGGGTAAACCTTTTCGACCTGTCGCTAGGAGCAAAGTCCACTGCCGTGGCACCTTCTTTCCCCTTTAGCGTTTGGATCACAGTCCACTTTTTAGATGCCTCATCTTGCTTCCATATCTTAATCTTCAATAAAAATGTGAATGGTAAAGCGAATAAGACACACAAGGAGCATTGATTTACCAGTTTGTCCCGGGCGGCCGTAGCGAAAATGTCACCCTCGTGGGACCAAGCGCAGTCCCATATGATCCTGGAGTGAGGTTTCTCGTGACAACATGGCGCATATTCTGGAAGGGTCAGGGACCATGATCTACAACGCGGAGACTTGAAACATACCTCCGTTCAGTTGCCGTTCAAAAAGGCACCATGTACGATCACGGGAAACAGTGAGAATATATCGGTCATCGGGGCTGAACGAAATCCGAGTGATAGTGAGGGTATGACCAGCTAAGGGTTGACCAAAAAGGCGCCACGTTCCGGTGTCATGGAGCCTCACCACGGCGTGCTCGGCAGTGCTCGACTTACATGCAGTCGCCAGGAGCGAGCCTGAATGGGAAGAAGCTATACTGATCAACTGCAAGGACAATGAGCAAAGTGCATGAAGAAGTTGAGAAATTCACGTCCCACCTCGTACCCATGACCAAACAACTTCTCAATCTCAGGCCAGAGGGTCACCGCTGAAAGTTCAGGCTCAAACGGCATCCGAGTGAACATATCAGGATTGATACCCGCCGCGACAACACTATCCGCATCATCACCTATCCTTAACATTAAAGACAGTTCAATTATCCGCACAGTGCTCACTTGGTTCCGTGGCTTTGTTAGATAGCCCAAGCGGGGGCACTGATGCACCACTGGGTCGGGATCCCTTTGTCCCCGATCAACAATACATGACACCAAGATGGACAAAATGGGACTGACCATGTCGGTATTGATCTGGGTTGCTTGTATACCCGCTAAAGCCTGAATGAAAGCCTTTGGTGCATCGAAAACCCGGGCAACTTTCTCATCGGCTGCACTGACAAAGCGCAGTGGGTCGATGAATATTGCAGAGATCAGATCGTAACCATGTATCTGCGGCCGAGCAATTTCATGCCAAGTTTCAACCCGAGTCTCTCCGTCGTTGCGTATCCAATGACCATGAATACGAGTCGTCTGGTCGAGACTGCAGAACTCACATCAGCTGTATCTCTCGGTCCAAATCTCCATGTGTTCACCTCGCTGACAACAAATAGTTTCCTTCAGGATCCCAAGCAAGCCCCCTAACAGGCCCTTGATGCCCGGTGACGGCACCTATCTCCCTCCAAGTCTCATTGGCTCCTTCCTCCCTACTCCACCGTCTCCATCCCCCATTCCAACCCCAAGCCACCACCTCTTTGCCGCCCTGGGCCCAAAGCCCGCCAACAAAGCCACCAGCTTTCACGCCGCCAACATCACCAAAGCGATGATGAATAGTCCATAAGCAGTCAGGTTCACCCTGCGGCACAGTAGGAGGCGAACTAGGAGACCATATCATAACCGATGAATCGGCAGACGTGGATAATAATGCCGGCGGCTTCCCAGGGACACTGCACCACGAGACCGAGGTGACACCTGCCTCGTGGCCGATTAACAAAGCGTCAAACGTGAGGCTAAACTGTCGCCTAAAAATGGGTAATTTAGATATAGTCAGGTGAGGGGACACAATACTGGATACCTGGTGGAACCACCTTCAGTTACAGTGAGAACGTGAGCTCGGTTTGTGATAGTTTTCCCCCCTTCTTCGGCATCACCGGAGACCTCTCCTAGGCGTTTTTCAAAAGCGTCCAAGAGGTCATCCACTTCCGATCGAACGAAACTTTGATGGGCTTTGATGAGCCAAAGGCGGACATAACCATCTTGCGACGCGGAGGCGAGGGTCAGTGAGCTGCCCTCATTGGTGTTCTGCGTGCCCGATGACATATAGAAAGACAAGCCCTTTACCCAGTCTTCGTGACCAGCCAGGGAAAGGGAGTGTACGAACTAATGACACTCATCAATTATTACATTGGGAATTGAGAGTTAACGAATAGAACCTTCTGACCGGATCGGGAATAGATCTGAATCAGCCTGTCAGTGCTTCCCACTGCGAGAATAAGGGCTGAGAAGGACAGAACATCAGTCCGAGAAGTATTCGATTATGAGGTCCAACCCACAAGGTGAATCTGGGAGCTCAGAAACAACAATTGAGAAGGGATAACGTCCTTTCATATCAATGGTTTGAAGGTGTTCCAATGAATCTGTACAAGTCCTCCAAGCATATGTTCGTGTAGTCTTTCAATGACGCTTGTAATGACATTACTTGATTGCAGTTGCCAGACTTTGATAGTAGCATCGGAAGATCCACTAATTAAAATATCCCGATACGAAGAGATAGCGTTGATAGTCATCTCGTGTCCTCGGATCTTTGCCTTCGTAGTCCACTGGATGTAGACGGGTTAATGAGACAAAGGAAGAAAAGGTCAAGCAACGCACTACATCATTGTTCGATCGCTCCCATAAGCGTATTGAGCCAGCCAGATCTGCGCTACAGAGCAGCTTTCCATGTTCAATCCAATGAGTACAAGTAACTTCAGCCTCATGACCAGCCAATGTCCTTGAAATCCCTCGATTAAAAGGTTCCTACATATTGTGTTAGTGACCCCATCTCTTGCATCGAATTTCGCTAGGCTCACCGATACATCCCAGATTGCTATGAATTTGTGCGTCCCAAACGCGACCAGAGGCGAGGAGCGGTTGGTGGAGGCAGCATTTGGGTATCGGTTTGCGGAAGCTGAAATGTACAACGTGTCCACAGTGCCTCCCATCGAACTCGAACCTCAAAAGGAAGGCCAGAAGGAAATGACCTAGTGCCCTAAACTTGAATGAGTCATATGATCACGGCTCACCCGGCGCGGAGTGCCGTGCCGGACGCTGAGCTCGATGTCTTTTCCTTGAGCAGCAAGATGGGAATCGATTCATACAATGCAGACAAGGGGCCCGATTGTCGTTGATATCAGTCAAGTAATTTAGCCTTCCTGGAATGCATTGGTCTCATTCCAATATCGAACATTCGGACCAAGCTCGACCACTCTGTCACATATGAAGAATGAAAGTATGCCTATTGAGATTAACTCCTTCCTCGCCTTGTCGATTTTGGGCTGTGTTGCGCCGAAGTCCTATGACGGCTCGCAGTGATCGAAATCATTGGAGTGAGTCGAGAACTGACTACGTGTGGTGAGTGGGTGACGAATTAAACCCTGTGAAGCGCAAGTCCTACCCAGACAAGCTATCAGAAGAGACAAGATGAGACTCCGCTTGGCCATTCCGTGCTGCGATATCCCAATATATGCACAATTGTCCCCGTCTCCCGCCTCATCACTCAAGATCACTATTTTATCTATGTCTTCACCCATCCCGAATCGCTGCTCCCTGGGTGCCGTTCTCTTAGGCAGTAAGAATGCTGGTTGTAACAAGACGGAGGACGACATCTGCGTCACTGCGAGAAACATCCTAGTATCCTACATCAGAGGTACGTTATGTTAGAATTCTTGGTTTTATGGTGTTCGCTATGACCAACTCACGTTTGGTGATGTTGAGTCGTGTGGCGTTTAGATTTACACCTATTGCCTTTCTTGGTGGCGTCCGTGCCAAAGTCAGTGCGCATTCATAGCGCCTGACTATAAAACCCCAATTTTTGGACAACCCAACTTTCCTCAGTTCACGTACAACGGGACTGAGGTATGTTGGTTATATCATGTTTTAAATCATGTATTAAACATTAGTCCACCAGCGATAAACTCGCTAGTCCAACATTTCGTCTTATACGTTATAGGTGGATACGATACGTTTCCGTCACCACTATCGATGGAATTACCCTAACGACAAGGAGTCGCGTTTTCTGGCCACTAAATCCTTCGCTGGATGATGAATTTCGACAACGTTGATTAAATAACTACAGCCGTACTGCGAAGATCGCTAAGTTGGTCTGATGCTTCATTGCATGATCGAGAACTCACTTAGAAAGGAATGGGCAGTGTAGGCACCGTGGGTGCATTCAAAGAGATGGATCCTTTGAGGTAGCAGAGGAATCCTCCGAATTTTGCGTTTCTTCCTTAACACGTTGAGCGAGCTCCTCCTTCACAATTTCCAATCCAACAAAGCCTGCGTGACTTCCTATGACAGTTGTCCCTGCCATCGCCGCTACCGTCTCTGCCATTACCCTCGCACTGGGGGTACTCACAACATACGATGCCGGAGTGTCCCTCTTTTCAGAAGCGGACATGTGGAAGATAGGAGCGGGCCGCAGGTGAGGCAGTGATCTCCTACCCTCTACGGCTTGCTCAAGGCTGGAATAGTTGAAAATTTGTCGGCCGGCGTCCATGGCCATTTTGGGAACGAATGCTTCATGGAATTTCTGGTCTAGATTCTCTGGCGTTACAAATTCTCCACCCTGGTGGTATAAAGATGTCAAGAGGCGAAGTTTTGCGTCAGATAGATTCGATGTTGGCTCATTAGATGACTTCGTAGTTGTATGGCCGGAATTGTTAGGGGATGACTGCGACGAAGATGAGGGTCGGAATGAGGATGAAGCGCTTCCATGGGCATAAAATATTGGAGGACGGAAAGTCTTCCGTAATAAATGTGAAGGGGAAAGTCTGCTATACATTTTCATGACGGAGTGATCGTCGACAGGACAAGTCCAGTGGCCTGAAGAAATGAGCGAAACGCAGCCGGCAGTCCCAGACTCGTACCCAGTCTGAGGAGCTCCGTGGACGCGCAAAATAATAGCTTTTTTACGCAATGTAAATAAACGTTCTCACGCTAAATCGTTATTCTCACGTTCTGCTTCCGCCATTAAAGTCACGTTCTGTACTCAATACAGAAATCACATGGTGCGGAGTTAAACACATCGCCGATCACCTACTCCGCGACACTTCGCTCCTCAGACTGGGGCAAAATGTAGTATGGCTGTGCTGCGGCACTTTCCGGCCTCTGTCTTCCCACGGCAAACAAGGCTCGCTTCGAGGCTCTAATCACCATACCCCTCCCCAACCCAACACAGAAAAAAATCCAAAACAAATGTAGTAGTTAACCCCACCCAAAATTAACCCAGCCCAACCCAGTCCAACCCCCAGCTCAACCCGATTCTTGTCCTTATGTGCTAAAATTATGTTGGAGTCTTGTTATCGCGACTCAGCACTTTGTCATTATTGAACCCAATCAAGGGAAAAAGATGGTAGACCTACCTAATCATAGCCCAACGCAATATAAACTCGAAGTGGTACACAAATCCCAAATATGTGGGGCAATGCAATGATTTTCGTGAGGTTCATTTCAAAAGATATCTAAAAAATGATCAATATGGTCATGTGTTGATCGCTACAGTATCCCCACCCCAAGAAATTGGCCGATGAGGTGAAAAAGAATATTATTTTGAGTGCGCGATACTCTATTCTAATAGAGGCTGGCAACCTGCCTAGTGCGATACAAGACTCCAACATAATTTTAGCACATAAGGACAAGAATCGGGTTGAGCTGGGGGTTGGACTGGGTTGGGCTGGGTTAATTTTGGGTGGGGTTAACTACTACATTTGTTTTGGATTTTTTTCTGTGTTGGGTTGGGGAGGGGTATGGTGATTAGAGCCTCGAAGCGAGCCTTGTTTGCCGTGGGAAGACAGAGGCCGGAAAGTGCCGCAGCACAGCCATACTACATTTTGCCCCAGTCTGAGGAGCGAAGTGTCGCGGAGTAGGTGATCGGCGATGTGTTTAACTCCGCACCATGTGATTTCTGTATTGAGTACAGAACGTGACTTTAATGAACGTGAGAATAACGATTTAGCGTGAGAACGTTTATTTACATTGCGTAAAAAAGCTATTATTTTGCGTCCACGGAGCTCCTCAGACTGGGTACGAGTCTGCGGCAGTCCCCGAGCACACGGTTCCCATTCTCAGCTCTATCTCGAGGCACGGCAGAATCGATTTGGACAGCTAAGGCACGACTAACAACTTACAAGCTCAACCTTGTTGACCGACCAAACTAAAAGGAACAAGAACGCAGCAACACTGAGGGCAGACTCAATGACCAATGAGCAAAAACAAATGAACGCATCCAACTCAATGCAGAGCAGTTCTTGTATATGAAGTCGGTAAAGATATCCGGCCGCACGTTGCCTCCGCAGTAGATCCTGTGCAGTCTTCAAGGCCTCAAGCCAGACTGAAAGTTCGCGAGCATCACATTAGGCAGGATACCAAGCCTCTATTAGAATAGAACACTACATGTCCCGCTCACGTACTACTGAAGAAACGGACAAGGATCTCGACTTGGTCCCTCAGCCAGTGAGCCATGATGTGCTCACATCTAGTGAGGCGTTTCCACCAAGCGCCGTTGTCCTTCATGAAGACGTAGAGATCGAAGATGAAGAGCCTGTGAGTTCACTTAGCGCCCGAACATTCCCCTCGATGAATCATGATCGCCCATAGGAGAGATTCTTTGAGACGGGGCTCGGCTTGGATGCTCTAGATGCTATCAACCCACTCGAGGATGACGACAGCACCAACTCCCTCACTGGCGCCCAGCGCCCTCTTGCGCGGACCATGACCATCTCAGTCCTTTCAACCTTTTCGTATGGATCGGCTTTATCATATCGGAGCTCTGGGGTCATATATTCCCTAAAGGATCTTTGCGATCATGTCATCGAGAAACACATCTGGCTACAAATGGCAAGGATTGTCAGCACATCCTGCTATTCTCAGTATCGAAACCTCGTTCTACATCGCTTCCTTATCCTCCAGTTACGCCGTCCCGGGAAACAGGATATATGGTTACGGATTGATCGAAGGGCTGGATTAGGTGCTCTCTCACTCATGTGGAAACTTGGTAAAACACGTGCCCATGATACGGTGAGCAGTGGCCGATCTACTAGCACTATAGGATTTGCCACTGATGCCCCTCATAGGCTCAGCTCTCGGCGTCCAAGGAAGCCCTCGTTCGAAAGGCACGTCTGGAGAATGTCCAAACGTTTGAAAAAGCGCCCTTCCTTGGTGATTTTGGCAATTATCTTCGCGTTATTTGCGAAGAACTGCTAGAGTATAAGATTTGGCCGGTATGGATTCCACAGCGCTGAGTCCAATGAAGCGCCCTCATGACTACGATCCCTCCAGGAGAACTGTTGGATGTTCTGTTCTCTCTTGCAAGAGCACCTCGGGATCTCGGGAGACGGGGATTACACCTTCGGGATCCCAATTGCTCGTGACACAGCACCACTTGTTCGAACGAGAATATCTGAACGAGCACTGGCCCATGTTTCACCCAACACGGTGAGCCATGCGTAATGAAATGAATTGGGAGGTTGTTAATCTGGGGTAGATAATGACTGCCTTGCGAAGTGCGGCCTGGGTGTGTAGAGCTTGTTATTGCAATCGTTTTTTTGATGACTCACAGTTTGACCCGCACAACAGACCTTTATCCCTCAGTGGCAACCCTTAAGCCTTGCAAAGCCGACGGGGTGGCTTTCTCGCTCGATAGTGACGTTCCTTGCCAAATTTGCCTACCCAGCACAAGGCTTAGATACCAGTCACCATTCGCAAGGCCTCATGGAGTGGATCACAAACTCTTCGCTTGTCGCTCGCTTAGAAAAGAGCGAACTCCACTCTCGTATCGCTATACACTGCATCGAGACCCTTTGCCGTTTGCCAGAGGAAAATATTCTCCAACTTCCGAATCCTTTGATCCTCAACTCTGACATTCCAGACCTTGCTCTTCGGATCCAGTCGAATATCTCCTCTGACGTTCAATATGCCGCGCTCTATGGCCTTCTACATGTGGCGGAAATTGAAAACCCCTCAACGGAGTTGTTCAGCAAATTAGAAACATTTTTCGCCAAATCAATGATCAAATGGCTGGAAGTATTGAGCCTGCTAGGGGCGACAAAGAATGCTGTTGTTGAATTAGATAAAGTTACTATATGGTGTGAGGTGTGTGATCTGCCTTTGGTTGCTTAATCATTATAACGCCAGTTTATAGAATCAGTGCCGTCAATTGCAGGACCAGAAGCCACAAAAAGCTTTGCTCCGACTGCTGTTGCAATGCTGTCGCTTCACCTCCCAATACTATGAAGTCATTTCGGTTTCTGCTGGTCATATCGCACATTCAGCCGACGCAAGTTGGCAAAAGCAATACTGCAGACGATCTCCTGAGTGTCTCCCAACAGTGCGAGGGGCCAGTTCTGCATTAGATATTTTCCTTACCATCCGAGGCCACATCGAGGGGGTCACCTCGGTCTCATTCTCGTTAGATGGATTGAGGGTAGCGTCGGTATCCAGGGATGAGACGGTACGAATCTGGGATGCACTAACTGGGCAGGAACTCAAGGTCCTCCGAGGGCACACCAAGTCGGTCACCTCAGTCTCATTCTCATCGGATGGATTCAAGGTAGTATCGGCATCCGAGGATGAGACGGTACGAATCTGGGATGCACTGACCGGGCAGGAACTCAAGGTCCTCCAAGGGCACACCAAATCGGTCGCCTCGGTCTCGTTCTCGTTGAATGGATCCAGGGTAGCGTCAGCATCCGAGGACGGGACGGTACGAATCTGGGATACACTGACCGGCCAGGGACTCAAGGTCCTCCGAGGACATACCGGGTCGGTCTACTCAGTTTCATTCTCATCGGAAGGATCTAGCGTAGCATCGGCATCTTGGGACAAGACGGTACGAATCTGGAATGCGCTGACCGGGCAGGAAATCAAGGTCCTCCAAGGGCACACCTGGCCGGTCACCTCGGTCTCATTCTCGTTGGATGGATCCAGGGTAGCATCGGCATCTTGGGACGAGACGGTACGAATCTGGGATACGCTGACCGGGCAAGAACTCAAGGTCCTCCGAGGACATACCTGGCCCGTCGCCTCGGTCTCATTCTCGTCAGATGGATCCAGGGTAGCGTCGGCATCCGAGGACCAGACATTGCGAATATGGGACGCGCTGAATGGGCAGGAACTGAAGGTCCTCCGAGGGCACACCGGGCCGGTCGCCTCAGTCTCATTCTCGTCAGACGGATCCAGGGTAGCATCAGCATGCAGGGATGGGACGGTACGAATCTGGGATGCGCTGACCAGACAAGAACCTAAGAACCTCCAAGGGCACACCGGCTCGGTTACTTCATTCTCATTCTCGTCGGATGGATCCAGGGTGGCGTCGGCATCCGAGGACCAGACAGTACGAATCTGGGACGCACAGACCGGGCAGGAACTCAAGGCCCTCCAAGGGCACACTGGATCGATCGCTTCAGTCGCATTCTCTTTCGATGGATCCAGGGTAGCGTCGGCATCCGGGGACCAGACAGTACGGATTTGGGATGCACTGACCGGGCAGAAACTCAAGACCCTACGAGGGCACACCAGGGCAGTGACTTCAGTCTCATTTTCGTCTGATGGATCCAGGATAGCGTCGGTATCCGAGAATGAGACGGTGCGAATCTGGGATGCAGTGAACTGGGAAGTGATCTCCACTGATGAGTCTATCACATCTAACCCCTATCCGGATTCATTTCCCAATTTAAGCAACATTTCCTATGATTGCTCATTTGCCATAGTCAAGCATGATGATTTTAACCACATCCACCTCTTTGCCGGACCTTGTGGATCCCCTCATTTTATTGCCCCTTCCTGTATAAGTGACATTATTACTACTTGGAAGATGTCACACAATCAGCAAGCACTTGCTGTTGGTATGCGTGATGGAGGAGTCTTGATTATCCAAGCTCCACAGATATACCATTGTGTAGAACATGCATAGGGTAAAACTGACTGGCCTGTCAAGGGCGCCTCTGAGATAACATTTCCACGTTATAATCCACTTCAATTACTATTTCGTACATCGATCGGCCATGCAAGTGTATCCACTTCTCTTTCGAGCCTGAGCTTCGTCTCGCGCACACAGGTTCCGGAGATCCAAACTTAGCGTGGAACGTCGATCCCAAATACAACGCCTCGCAAAAGCTACTGGGATTCCACCAAAAATAAAAGAACTAGCGTGGCGCAAATGCTCAGTTTTAGAGATCCACTCAATTACGCAGTCAGGGATGACGCCAACGGCGCTTCTACGTCTCGGTCACTCCGCACTGGACGCATGCAGACCGAAGTCACAGCATAAGTGCATCCTGTGTAGGAAATGAAATTGCAGAAATTTGACTGATGAGGCGAGGAGACGCATTTGAAATTCACACATGCTGTCTTGAGCAAAGTACTATTTTACCTGCAAATATGGGCTCGCGTGAATGTTAGGGTGTTCGGCAGGAAACTTCCATACACCTTCGCAGTACTGTGCTGGTGTGTGCAACGACACAAACCTTGGTATATTGGTCACGGTGCTACGAAGTGAATCATCAAGGAACTCTTTTCACTTGCGTTCTTGTGTACGAGTGCTTGGCAAGAGTCATTGAAGAATTTGGATCAGGGAAACGGTGGGTGTTGCAACCCCCCGGAATACTCTTTCGATGATAACGCTGACGGCGACTGAATGCGGAGGTGGTTCGATCTCCAGCAACGAGGATTTTGTTAATGTCCCCGTTCAGGCCGCTTACTATGATGCAATTTGAGCAGTTTCCCATAGGCTTCAAGTTGAGTCTATGCTTCAAGCTCAGGAAATAACTTCGAGGATCCTTGTGGCGTGTGGGCCATGGATTAAACGTGAAAGCTTGTGGGTTCCTCTTCCCTCAATGGGAAAAGTCCCGTGTGATCGGGGGCCAAAACATGAACGAAACGCTGACAGAACGGAACACAGGAAAAACCCTTCATACACTATTACCTGACCAACCCAGACGTCGAGAATCACATAACCCACCGCCGAGAGTCGGGGTTCGGGCAGCCGCAATGCCACGTGACTAGACCGACAGGCATCTAAAATTGGATATCGTCGTCGCTCAACGAAGTCTGTTTCTCAAGATGTCGACTTACACGCCCATTGACAATGTGCCAAAGGTACTGCCGTACCCCACTCTTTAATTTGAATCTAACATGTCTCACTGGTAGATTCGTGACACTCTGCGGGCTGGTTTTGCCACTAATCGTTCCAAAGATGTTCGATACCGAAAGACACAGCTTCTCCAGCTTGCCTATCTATTGCAAGGTATAACTGTCTTGCCACTCTTTGATGGAACGTTTTAGCTGATTGGTCCTAGACAACAAGCAGCGCCTCGTGGATGCACTCCAAGCCGACCTCCACCGACCAGCAGCTGAAACTTTCTTGGTGGAGATCGGGGCTAGCATAAAGGAAGCACTTATTGCCTATAAGAGAGTGGATAAATGGGCAAAACCCGAGGGTGTCCCGTTTGACTTACTCACATTTGCGATGCGAGGGAGGACATTGAAGGAACCTAAGGGCACCGTTCTCATTATTGGGCCGTTCAACTATCCATTGGTGAGCTCCATAGTTGGAATTCTTTTATGTATGTGGGGGAGTGTTGACGTTCTTGTTTTCGAAGTGGTGTCTATTCGTCCCCCTTGTACGTTGTGTTGGTGCGCATGTGATTCGTAGGTTTCTCACCCATGCAGGTCGGAGCCATCGCAGCCGGGTGCGCCGTCTGCATTAAGCCATCCGAAGTCGTACCATCTGTCCAAGACCTTATCGCTGAGCTCATTCCTCAGTACCTGGACCCGGACCTTTACCAGGTTGTTACCGCCGAAGTCGAAGGCACAACAAAGGTGATTGTCGATCGTGCGTGCACCCTGTTGCGCAATTGGGCTCACTCCCACGTGGGATTTATTTACGTAGCTTCTTGAGCTGCAGTGGGATCACAGTGAGTGTCCTAATCATGAGCATTATGGAAATTTACCAACTGCACTCCGTAGTCATGTACACCGGCAATGGAAGCGTTGGGAGGCTGGTTGCAACCGCTGCGGCTAAACACCTCACCCCGGTCTCTCTGGAGCTTGGCGGAAAGTCCCCAGTGATTGTTGATGACACAGCCGATCTTAAAGTCACAGCTCGCCGTGTGCTGTGGGGGAAAGTCATCAATGCTGGTCAGACATGCGTTGCGCCTGACTACGTTCTAGTTACGGAGGGGCGGCAGGATGCTCTCGTGGACGCTCTCAAAGAAGTGTAGGTCCCTCGCCATGTCAGGTGCTGTTGATCATCAAACTCAATACGGTTGTTAGCCATCGAGATTTCTACCCCCAAAATTCCGTTGCGGAGTCTCCCGATTTCTCCCGTCTGGCTGCCGACAGGCACTTTGAGCGTGTTAAGAAGCTTCTGAATGCCACCAAGGGTGAGATTGTTTTGGGGGGCGAAATGGATGCGAGTCAAAAGTTCATCGCGCCCACTATCGTCAAAAACGTAACTTTTGAGGATTCTTTGATGGAAGAGTGCGTCATAGTTTCTCAAGCTGTTGGTTGCTAATTGGATTTGCCTTTGTAGGGAATTGTTTGGACCTGTCCTACCGATAATACCAATCAAGGACGTCCAAACTGCAATTGACTACATCAACTCAAAGTGAGCTGCCTTCGAAGCACTAGACTTGGCTTGTATCTGAAGATACCGCTTTCTTCTCTTCAGGGATCGCCCACTGGCCTTGTACCTCTTTTCTACCGACGACAAACTGAAGAAAGATATCCTGGCCAAAACCATCAGTGGCATGGCTATGATCAACGATATTCTGATGGCTGCTGCCGGTGTGTCAACATTTTCCGAGGGTCAATCTTACGTGCTAACGAACCCGATCCATGCAGTGGAGGGGCTCGGGTTTGGTGGAACTGGTGCTGTGAGTAATGATAGGGCCATTTCAACAGATCGCGAAGCTAACCATTCGTTCTCTGCCTTTTAGTCGGGATGTGAGTAACGTTGGCCGGGATTTCGCGACTAACCTTGATGTTACCCTTCAAACCTCAGATGGAGCACATAATGATAAGGCTGGTTTCGACACCTTCACTCATCGTCGCTCAACAGTTGATGTCCCAGGATGGTGCGTCTCAAATTTTTATCATCCCAATAGCGTCGATTTTATCCAGAGTCATTATTCCATATCCCTGTTACAGGCTTGATTATATCGTCAAATTCCGTTTCCCACCATACACGAAAGAGAAAGAAAACTTGGCCAATAAGTTGTCAATTCCGAAGATCCCGTACCCCCGCCCAGGTACGCAGCCACCGTTCGGCTGGGAGAAATGGTTCACAGTATTCATTTTGGTTGGTGGACTGGCAACAGCGCTCACAAGGAAGAAAGGGATCCTAGGTGCAGGGACAAATAGTGGGCCCGCGTAACATTTGCATCATTTAATTACACATTTGGTATTCTGCTCTCATGACATGCATTTCCCTCCGCCTCTGACAGGTACAGTTGTATCGTTTCTCAGACCGCGCTAGTTTTGCTGTAACTTTGACGCAGTCGGGTGTTCGCTGGTAGTTCTCATAATTTCAGTTTGCCGGATACTGGATATAACAATATAACGATATAACAAGCATACTGAAGATCATAGCGGCACGGGCTTTGGATGAGAAGTTAATCAAGTGACCCTTGATAACAAAATAATCGGAAAGTACATGGATAGCACAAAAATATACCCCAGCAACGCCCGAGGAGTGGAAGAGTGCCATCGCTGGTGGCATCTCGCATGCTGGGCTTTCCGGCACCATTTGGAGAGAGAATATAGCTAATCCTGACTCCCTTCACTCATAGACATGCTAGATTCTGAATGGATAGGAGAAGGGGCGCGCTTTTCAAGTTCCGGCCCTCCCAGACGGACAGGGACTGGCGAACGGGAACGGGAACGGGAAGGCGGGCGTGAGCGTGAGGTTGACCTTGAATCAACTGATCTTCCTCGTGAACTGCGAGATCCTGATTCTGAACGGCGACGAGGTGGCAGACTAGGAGAACGACGAAGTGGGCGACGTTTACCGGCCTCAGGAGTGGGTGAGCGGGATACAGGAAGGCGACGTGGAGGTGACCGACGACGCGGAGATAGCTGGCGGCGCGGAGGCGACGGGCGACGTGGAGGCGACCAACGGCGTGGAGGCGATCGACGACGTAGAGGTGATTGACGGCGCGGGACAGGGGATCTGGAACGGGAGTCGCGACGGCGCGGCGGAGGGGAGCGTGATCGTCTTTCGTGGGAAGAGCGCATGGGGGGAGGGGACATGCTACGTTTTCGGCCCCGGGGAGACGGAGGAGCAGGAGGGCGGAAGCCGCGTTCACGGCGATCGCGGTCGTTGCGAGAGGTGTATGTTGAACGTGCCTCTTTCTCTCTCGCCTCGCGTTCGAGACGTTCCTCATATTCACGTCGTCTTCTCAGTCGTTCTCGTTCTTTCCTTTCGGCCTCATACTTGGCTCTTGCGGCAGCATGCTGAGCCTCAGCCTCCGCGCGCTCCGCTTGCTTAGCAGCCCGCTCCTGAGCACGTTGCTTCTTGTCCTCTTCCTGCTTTTCGCGATCGAAGGCAGCACCTTCGATATAGTTTGAAGAAGTCCCTAAGGCTTGGGCCATTTTCGAGAGCTCGCTCTTTTTCGCCACAGCAATTCCATGCGTATCATGGGACTTGAGATTTTTTCCAGTTGGAAGTGCAATGTGTGAGAGATTTTTGAGTAAGTTTTGACGAAGAGCGTCAACTTGTGCTTCAATTTCATCTTCAGGCACTCTGTGGCAAATGAGATTCCTAATGCTGAATGGGCGGGGTTTCGCTCACTCTTTTTCCTCCAACTCGAGCTGCAATTCAAGGCATTTCAGCTCTACTTTTCTCTTCCGTTCATGTTCGAGTATCCCTTGGTCGGGTTCCCTTAAAGACGGGCCCCCTTTACCAAACTCGACTATTTGGTCGCTAATGGGATCTCGAGAGCGCAGGTGTGACAGGTTTCGAATCACATAGCCATTGGTGCCGCTAAGAGTGAGGGATTCAATAAGGTTGAAATCCTTTATGCCGTTTCCACGTACCTTCCTCTGGGTGTTGTGAGCCCGATTCCATTGTACATGTTGGTGGTTGAGTAAAGGATTGAGGATTCGGCCGAGTCCCACGATCACGGGGATGTTTAGCACGCCATTCGCACGCCATATCATGCAAGGGCAAATTTTATTCACCACGTTCAATGGCGTTGCTGCTGTCAGCGACAGCTGAGGAGAAGGTTTCCGCAAGAGCCGCTGAGATAGTTGAGGCGATTGCTGCGCGCAATAGCAGTACCGTCTACATTTACGATGTAGCTGCCCAATTCGGTCTCGGAGGACTGGTCAAAGCAGCAAAAAAGTCCCAAGCATGTTACCCCACTGTAGTCGACTTGCAGACTCGAGATGGATCTGGCTTACTCCTCGCAGGGAGACTCTCTGAGGGGACAAGCACTGAGGGGTCGCAAGCGTCCGTTACACTGACAGCTTTTACCACACCACACGGGTTACTGCAAATGGCTCCAGCGATGGCCTCATTCCCTCCGGCGTCTCCTTCCTCACGGGCCATTCTGAATATCCCAGCTCTCGGGAGCATCGGGGAATCGTTGTCTCTGCATCCTTCCCTCGAACAATTGGCAATAATTTTGCCTGTAATCCCCGAGGAATTCTCGATCATCCTATCGTCTTCTCCTCAGGAAATCGCTGATGTGGCGTCTGCCGCTTATTCTGTCACGGACTCACACGTTATTCACGTCTTCAATCATTACGATGGTGCCCGTGAGCTTCGCGAGCTATCCTACCCCAAAGACCGGAACCGACCCAAGCCCAAGTTTCTGTCATACAAGCCCTTGAGAAATTTGGCTATGGGTCATTCGATTATTTCGGAAACAAAAATCCAAGAATCGTCCTTGTGTCATTAAATGGCGTATTTGCCAACTCTCTTCGTGCCTTCGCCACAACGACATCCACAATCGGCCTCATAGTTGTGCGTGTGTTACAACCTTGGGATATGGAGCTTTTCAAGAAAGTAGTTCCGACTTCTGCAAAATACGTGCATATATTGGAGGAAGTCATGGATGAGTTCAGTGAGGGAGCTCTTTACGGCGACGTCGTGACTTCGCTGGTGCCATCGAAAAATGATACCCACCCTTGTCTCCCAACCTTCTACGTCACCGGATTACCCCGAAGAGAATGCTCGACCTCATCAGAGACCCTCAAGTTCTAAGGGAGCTCTTATCCGAACTCGTGGGAACCCAGCTGCCGTTGCAAGACCCAACAACACTCGACGCCAAGAAACTTGTTTTCATTGGATCCTCTACTCCTCGTGGGCTTCCCTTAAATATCGTGAGCGCCTTTACGCAGAGCAAAACACTGCACACGAGATATCTCCCCACCTCTGACATTTTCTCCAATCTTGGTGGAGTCGAGGTCAGCAGGGTGATCCTTGCCCCTTTATCCTCGCCCACCACTGATTTTCCATTCAATACCATCCTTCCCCTGGAAGCTTCAGGAGAAAGGATATCCGGCACCGCCGATTTTACTGCCATCCTTGATCCGAGACTTCTAAAAACTCACGATGTCCTTCGGCATGCGCATCAGGGATCGCCAGTCCTCATATTTACTTCGATGAGCACACAAGACCTTCTCGGAAGTTTGGTGGAATCTGCGAAGCAGCTTATCCCAGAACGGGATTTAAAGCTTTTCAAATACGACGACCACCAGACGTTCGGAGATGGGTATGGCTTTTTAATTTATGAAGCTCTGGCGCATATTGCCTTCCTGCGCTTATACGTGGGGAACGATCTCATGAATTTAACCCTGCTTTCAAGGGCTTTATTGGGTTCCCAGGTCGATCAGATACCCGTTGACGATCTCGTGAATGCTGTTTGGGAGGACTTAGAAGTTGTTCCGGTTTTGTCCACAGTTAATGAATCTTTGAATCCTATCTCTATCGAGCCCCCAAAAGCGACTCTACAAGGATTCGACTTTAATGCAACTTCTCTTGACGATGCTGATGCAGGGATTTGCGATGCTGTTCAAAACAGTTCCATCACTACCCTTGGCATGAAGCTGCGAAACATATCATTTTCCGCGAAGCATTTAAATCGACACCCGATTCTGAAGTTCTTGCGCTCCGGCCGGAAGTCCCGACGGACACGTACCTAATCACTTGCACCGTCAACAAGCGACTCACACCCCTTTCATACGGCCGCAATTTGTTCCACTTGGAGTTCGACATCGGAGACACCGGTCTTACCTACAAGATAGGCGAGGCGCTGGGCATCCATGGTTGGAACGATGAAGGCGACGTGTTGGACTTCTGCCGATGGTACGGCGTCGATCCTAATGCAGTACTCTCAATCCCCTTGCCGTCTTCGGCGGGCCGACAGCTCATGGCGACTCGCACCGTCTTTCAAGCTTTACAACAGAATCTTGATATTTTTGGAAAGCCACCCAAATCCTTTTTCGCGGCTCTTGCTACTTATGCCAAGGATCGTCGAGAGCGGATGGCTCTTCACTTTATCGCCTCGGCCGAAGGGGCTGCAACACTGAAAAAGTTCAGCGAAGTTGATACTGTATCGTATGCAGACGTGCTGCAGCTGTACCCGAGTGCGCGGCCTAATATCTCCGAGTTAGCAACAATCGTGGAGGAGATTAAGGAGAGACATTACAGCATAGCAAGTGCCCAGAGCGTTGTTGGCAACCGCGTCGATCTCCTTGTGGTGACGGTCGACTGGGTGACCCCGAGCGGTATGTGCTACAATGACCGCTCCTCCACTGTGCTTACCCCAAAATTTCCCTCAGGGGCACTAAAATATGGGCAATGCACTAGGTATCTCGCAGCCCTCAAGCCAGGCACAAAAGTCACCGTCTCCATCAAACCAAGTGTGATGAAAGTAAGCAACTTTTTTTTTCCCGCCTAACTTATCCTCACAACTCTCTAGCTGCCTCCCTCAGATCTGCAACCCGTCATCATGGCAGGCCTTGGGACTGGGGCCGCCCCGTTCCGTGCCTTCATGCAGCACCGAGCTCTTCAAGTCAGCTTGGGTAAATCTGTGGGTCCTTTAGTCTACTATTTCGGCTCACGGCACCGCTCCCAAGAATATCTTTATGGGGAGGAAATCGAAGCTTATATCAAGGATGGCATCATTGCGCATGCTGGGCTGGCTTTCAGTCGAGATTCAGATTCTAAGGTTTACATTCAGCATAAAATGCGTAATGACGGAAAAATGCTGGCCGACATGATTAGTGGGGATGGTCCTGATACAAAAGACTCTGAAAAGGGTGTATTTTATTTGTGCGGCCCTACCTGGCCTGTCCCTGACGTGTTCGAGGCACTTGTGAACGCCTTAGTCAAGTATTCAGGTCGAGACAAATCAGAAGCTGGCGCCTATCTAGAAAGTCTGAAGGAGCAGGAACGATATGTTCTAGAGGTGAGTTACCTATATTGTTATCACCAACCCCGATTCGTGCTCATTTTACGTATGAAACCAGGTGTATTAGATGTAGATGTATATTGTGTTCTCTGCATGTTATAGGAGCGAGTTTGCTGACTATCGTTAGCATGTCATCCCTTGGACATGCTTCAGTGACATTGACAAGTGCTTTAATTGTATATTCACTTGGCTGACATGAACAAAATCGTAAAAGTCCATTATCTGTGAAACTTGGGCTACCAACTTTTCCCCTTGTACTTTTTCCTGAACCAGAACGTGTAAACGAGTGCGGCGATGACACCAAGACCCACAACTGTCACGACTACAGCAATGACGATCTTCTTCGTTCTCGACGCAGTACCCTTTCCGCATGAGAATACAGCGTCGCAAGGATGTGTCCCCTGCTTGGGTCGTTTCGATTCATACGCGCCTGCCTGCAGCACGGTGTAGAAAGGGTCCTGAGTGTTCGAGATGACGTTCGCAGCGGCAATAGTAAGTAGTGGTGCGTTGTAGTCCAGCGCTACTTCTGTTTCGGGCCAGTCAGATCTACAACGAACGCACACCAAGGTCCAAGTAAGCACGATCGTCATAGATCAATCAAAACCCACGAACTCACCGTATGTCCCAGAATTGGTCATTTTTATCTGGTCCCCCCACAACTGCACCATATAGAACGTGGGCTTCCTCAGTTGGGTACGTATTTATCGTGCCCGTATCGTTCCCACCACTGGCCAACGCACTATGTGGATTTCTTGGAGAATTAGGATTCACACCGACAACATAAGGCATTTCCATCGGGTTGTTTCCCAGGACGTAATCACGCTGTGATGCAGCAAACGCCTGAAGTTATCATTAGGAGAAGCGTGAGCACAACGGTTTTGCATTGAGGGAACTAGAAGTAGTTTCCAGGCACACCTCGTACGAGTTCCTTCTGGTGTCATTGGTTGCTAGCGGTGCATAAAGGGAGAGCAGCATTGCGGCATTCAGCGCTGGGTTCAAACTGGCCTCATTCGAGTCTCCTTGATAGTACAAAAGTCCTCCTGTGATTACCGCGAGGTTCAGCCACCTTTCTACTTGCAGTAGAGTGGTTTCAACATACCCTGCGTCAGGTGGCCATACCCCTGCCCATTTACAACATTATCTAAATACCTCTCTGCTTCTTGTGTCCAAAAATCCGTCGTGTTGCTCCATGGCTCGTACATGCTAGACACTTGAACCCCAAGGACACCAAGCGCTGGAACTTTGTTATCCCAGTTGAGAGCACCGTTTCCACCTCCTAAAGACGAGTTTTTGAACAAATTCAAGGCGCCTTCGTAATAGTACTTGGCATCCCCATCCGGATTTGACGAGTTTTGATACTGATATGAGTATGGCGACTCGAGCGAAGCCGCGGCCAAGAAAAGAGCAGCGAGAGCTTGGTCATCCAGGTACCCGGACGAAGGGTATGACGATCCGACCGAAGAAGGAAGTGACTGAGAGTATACCTGTTGGGGCTGAGTATCGCGTGCAAACGCAAAGAGGTTTTGAGCGTAACGTAAAAGGGTCTTGGAGAACGTGAGGTCTGTTAGGTTCGCTGGGGTGCCAATGGAAGAATGATTGCTTTTTGTACCACTAGGATAGAGTGAGGTCCCGTTGTACAAGATCGAGCATGCTGCGTAGGCGGCGGCGGCGGATGCTGCTACGTCCGTCCCGGGACTAGGAATGGGAGTTATTTATAGATAAAGGTTCACCGAATGAGGTAACAACCCACTATTTGGTACTGATCAACCATGTTGGTCGCGGAGTAGGAATGTTTTGGTCTCCTCCCCAATAATTGTTGTCTATCGACGCTGGAATGAAGGAGTGGGAAATTAGTAATAGCGCCATAAAATCATTAGGAGCGTCATACCATCGCCAACTTGTACCACCAGACTCGTTATGTTTGGCTGAGCCTGGGAGAGCCGATGTGATCAACACGAGACGGGCGGTGCAAGAAAATGACGCACATTTATCAAGTATTGAAATGCCCAACGAAGGATACTGTCGAGGTAAGGTGTTTGTTGAGCCAAGTCATAGCCTATGGCAACTGCGTTTGGCTAAGAGCATTTGTAAACGAGTGTGGATGCTCACCAGAGCCAAAGCTTGTGGCTCCCCAGCATATAGACGTCAAAGTCCAAGTCTGGCAAAGTGGATCAGCTAGGGAGGCGACGTATTGGTCAACAATAACGTACTAAAGGGAACGTAATCTTGAGGTAGTCTATCCATAGGTCGAGATGAGTGAGAAGCGCTCAGAGAGTACACCATCGAGCCATACATGCCTCCTGCATCATAGAATCCTCCCGAGGGATTATCACTGAGAGCGGAATTGTTCCTCCAGCTCACGCGATTGTAGGTGGACAAGTTTCCGCTGCGTTGAGCATCGTAGAACCATAGGAGGTCCCCAAGAAGGTTTGACCATTGGGGATTAGGTATAGTAGATGAGTTGGAGCGTATAGCCCCTGAAGAAGCCGGTGGAGGTTGGAACGGTTGAGAAGGAATCGGGAGTTGTGCATATACAAAGGGAACAAGATGAATGAGGAAGAGACATTTCTGGGACAAAGCCTGTAAATTCATAAACTCTAACTCTGGGCGGCAATACCTTTTGCCTTGAAACTGTTCTCGTGCGTTAGACGGCGGTTTACTCCTGAGTGCTATGTAAGAACTTGCCTCGAGGCATTTGTTTGGTCTTGATGACGTCGGGACGGGTGCGAACCCTCATCTTTTCTTTTTTTCTCTTCACATCGCGATCAGGAATTATCAGTTCCTTGCTGTCCAGTGGAATGCAGAATAATCTTACTCTTGCAGGAATCGTCTATCGAGCCTCGACCGGGGGACTTGTGACATTACACATTCGTCACGCTCATGTACTCCTAACGTCCTGTCGAGGGCTTCCGTTCGACAAGGATGGAGAGGCCTGCTACGATTTGTGTTCTATCTCAAGTGTGATTGTTGCTTAAACTTATCGCGGTACCTTCTCAGTCTTTTCTCGTTGAGCTGTCGTTTCTATAGTCTACTTCACCACGATCTTGGACCGTCCGAGCTCACGGCTCCGATGGAGGGGACAGGCATATAGTCGCAGTCGCGATGCCCGCTTTCATGAGATTGTTACAAGACGGACAACATTGCAATCCACCACATCTTGGTCGCTGTCAATTATTCGCCCACAGGTCTCAATTGTAATGTATGTACTCGATGCCTAAAGTGTATCCTGTGTTCTCGTCAGGATAGACCCTTAATGCGAGTGCATTCGATATCCCTGGTTTGTAGTAGTATTTCTTTGATACCGTCCCCTTGGGTGCGCCGACGGCAGTGAGGGAGTAGTCCGCAATCTCGTATCCAGTTGCCAATTCCAACAAGTCGTAATATTGACCCTCTTGGGAAACGTCGTCAGCGTACGAACATGCTTCGGCGGTGAGAAATTCAAGTCCAGGGGATATCCATCGCTTCGTCACACAAAGCTTTGGTAGGTCTGCGGAGTACGGATCCCCATAAACTCGGATGTGGCCATACCAATGCTTTTTCCCGGACGGAGTGACCGTGTTGGAAGGGAATCGCATATACTTGGAGTTGCACATCTCACTGTGGTAAAGGGTGAGGTTAGTAGTAGGCTTCTTACAGAAAACCAACGCGTACAATCCAAAATTATCGCCCTGGAACGGGGCAGCATTGATCAGCACAAGGGGATCGTTCCCCGCACTCGCCTTGCTACCCGCAGCTTTCAAAGCATCTGAGAGGTGATAGTTCGAGCGGATCCCGGGAAGAGCTGCCTGGGAGTCGGTGCTGTTTCTTAGGTACACGTACTGCGCGCCATTCAGATCGACGAGGCTGCAGTTGAGCGGGGCGGTACGAGATTGTAGGATACCTTCAAGAAAGGTGAAAGCAAAGGCGAAGATACTGCTGGTGGACACCATCCTTGGGGGTCTTTGGTTGCGATCCAATTGTTGTGCTAATTCTTTTATATCGTATCCAAGGCGGGCTCTAGAGCCCGTGTGATGACATAAGTGCTCAGTCAGTACAATGCCCGTGTACAATTCACGGTCAATGGTTCTTCCCATTAACCTCGCAGGTCCTGCGTGACACTTGAATGTGTCCGCAGAGCCACGAGGACAGTGGAGCCTGATGCTGGACGAATTCCTTTCTATCGCGTATATGTTACATGGAAGACATGGAGATGTCGTTTCACAGTGATGATGAGTGGGCTCCTGTTAGGATGTCTTTCCGGCACATCGGTCACGAAGTTCACTTTAGAACCTAGATCGACATGTGAGCTGAGACAACGCTATCTTTCCCGCCGATAATCTGTCACAGTAATATAATAAGGTGCAGCGTGAAGTGTAAGTGTTCAGTGACTACCCGTAATGCTGTGTGCGGCTGAACGTAAATACCCTAAGCGCACTAGTAGAAACAAATGTCCAATAGTGCCATCAAGTTCGTTGTATATATATAGATCGTCAGTTCACATGCACATAACTGAAGTGGAGGGCATAGCCTGTGTTTTGATCGGGATGCACAGTGAAAGCGGGAGCCTTGGCTGTACCAGGCAGATAATAATAGTTCTTTGAGTGCTGCCGGCTCGGCGCCCCAATCTGAGTCAGCAAATAATCCGCCAATTCGTAACCTCTCCCCAATTCCAGCATGTCAAAGTATTGGTTTTCTTGCGAAGCATCGTCTTTGTACGAGCAAGGCTCTCCAGTCAAGAACTGAAGGCTGGGAGAAATCCAGTGTTTCGTCAGGCAGAGTTTCGGCGAATTGGGGGACTTTGGGCCCTCTCCGTAAAGTCGGACGTGACCGTACCAGTGCTTCTTTCCCGAAGACGTTGTCCTTTGTGCGGGGAAGCCCATGTAATTCGATTTGCAAGATTCGCTAAGAAGGCATAAGACTTGAATAAGATGAAGAGATTGGATTGGATCCCTTGATGCTCACAAGTCAGCTCTGCAAAGAGGGTGATTTAGCGTCTTCTCTGTGTCAAAAAAAATGAAATCATCCATGCTCACAAGTTGGAATTGAACCCGAGGCTCGTTTGTTCGGTGTCGACAACAACCATAGGGTTAGTCCCTGGATTCGCATGACTCCCCGCTGCTTTCAAAGCATCTTTAAGACGATACTTGGAATATACTCCGGGAATGATGTGTGCAGAAGTTTTGTTCTCGAGAACAAGGTATTCCGCACCGGTGTCGACTATGTTGCAATGCAATTGAGGTACGCGGGGAAAGGGAGTGGCAAACGCCCACGCGAAGAAGAGTGATGATATGATGAGTGACAACATCCTGACTGCAGCGTTAATTCGGGAGGAGAGGGATGAGAGCTAGAGGGGCCAAGCCTAAGTCCACCCTTTCTCGTGCGGATATATATAGTCCAAGGTTCCTGAACACGAGGGTAAGGGGTTCCGTAAATTGGACGTAAGAGCAAGGCGATGTTTTGATTCAGGGCAGTCACCATGGCGTGGAATTCTTGGTAACCAAGGCGTGGCGAGCAGCTGCCCCTTGCCATGCACGCACAAGGTTTGTAATGATGTGGGGGAAACGCTAACGATCCCGCGATTAGAGGTCATGAGTCACGAAAAATCAGACCTCCTCCCATCCACTACCACTGCACCGCAGGTGACTGATCATGAAGTAATAAATTATGAGACTACACTCTGCAGTGCTGCCAGGGGCTTCGACGCTGGCTTAGGACATACTTACGTAAAAACGCGCTAATCGTGCTATATTTAGCTAGGAATTTGACTCGCTCCGTTGTAGGTTGTTTGCTTCGAGAAGTAGTTGGTTGGTCTTCGGTCGCTCTCTGTCGATCCAGAATGCTTGCTTCTCGCAGCTATCGGGTTCACATTGCGGGAGACTCCGATACACGGAGCTCAAAGGTCCACCCCAACGCTCAACTTTCATTTAAAACCCCTATCAAACCAAATAATGGAAAGTCGGTTGGTTTTGGGACTGTCACTCGCACGAATCTTAAAGAGAACGCGACCAATCATCGCCCACCCAGGACTGGTGGAAAGTCGAATGTATTTCCTATGACTCCAGGGCTTAAAGAGCCACCACAATCACGTTCGTAAAGTAGCGTTCATTCCGACGCGTTGTTGTTCTGACGCGCGTGGTCCTCTTCACACCAGTGCACCAAAACACGCTCAAAACCAATAACAACGCCACATTGAAAACCCAACACCAGAACACCACGAAATCATCGCGTTTGTTGAATCTTACGAACAATACACCATACCCTTCTCGGTTGCTGCCTGTATCACCTCTGGGCGGGACGGCCTCTCCAATCAAGATCCCCGCTCTTCTCACTACTGATGGATCGATTTTGAAGGCATCAGAAAGTACTATTCCGCCCAGTCGTTCACGCCACAGTGCACGATTGCCACGCCTTTCTGATCAGAATCAAGCTTTCCAGACTCCAGCACCGGATGGAAGACGGGGGTTCTGGGAACACAGCAGTGAGGATATTAGTGCTGAATCCACCAGTCTTATGGGTGATGGATCGTCTCTTATGGCCGGAGCCGAGTTTGAGGGTGATGACGAAGTTGAATATATGCCTCCTCCCGTTGAACGTGAGTCCTCTTCACCTTTGCGTCAAATTGGCCGCGCAACAACTCATCCCTTTTGATAGCACTTCCCTTTGATCCAGGATTTGATCTACCTGACTTCAAAGCACTTGGAGAGAGCTTGTGGAAGATTGGCAACATTGCTCAGTTCAACGCGTTCGACTATGTGAAGCCTACCCAACCTCCTTTCGAGCTGGAAACTACTGGTATGGACGAGATGGATGAGTTGATACCAAAGTACCGTCTTCCTGAAGGAGGTGATCAAGGTCGGTTCGCATAAACCATAAGAGGTGGTTCCAATGCTTATCGTTTGTTAGAGGATTCAATTGCGGCTCTTGCTCAGCTATCGAGCTACCCGATGCCGGAACACGCATCCAAGGGTGAATCATCTCGTACAACCCCTGCCTCTGGTTCACGGGCGCTTGGCGCAGGTCGCTCTACAACCAACGCTCAGTCCAGTGCCTCGGCTGCGTCAAAGAAAATCAGGTCACTTGCATCTCACCAGAAAACGACACAGATCCCAACAACTTCCCTCACATCCTCACGCGCTACTACCGCTTCTCAAAGACAAACTCGTTCCATGTCCGCTGCTGCAAATTCAGGGACTGCGATCCAGCCAGCACGTGTAACCCGAGGGGCATCTCGTCCAGCCACTATAACTGCAGTGAAGACCGGTTCCTCGACAAGCGCACCTCGTGGGAGGACTGCCGCTGTGCAGCCCAAGTCCAAGATGGAGAAAGGAGCAGTGACTCGAACGAAAACGCAGGCTCGAAGGAACTTTAACCTGGAAGACATAGTTCCTGACCTCATGCAACCACAAGCATGGATTTGTGACGATCCCTCCTTTCAATTATTGGACTGAAACGTACTTCGCTTGATGAACTTTTATATCATTTCGTATCACACTTCCGTACATAATCAGCGCTTCTCCATGCCATCGCTTTCACCCAATTGTATCTCTTGTTCGGGCACTTTATTCTCTTGGAATGACTCATGTTGACTCTGTTAAAGTCCCTCGCTCCGGACCCTAATGCAAAGCAGTGCGGCCACGCTGTGCATCACACAGGCTAAATATCCAGAATAGACAACAACGCTGTACATCAAAAACACATTCTCTTGGTTACCAACTAGCACCTTCTCTATATCACATTTTGGGCTTGTTGCCCTCCTGGCGGTCTGATTGACTCCTGAAGCGTTGGATTCAATGCCTCTTGGCTCCGGCGCAATATCATCCCCGAGTTCGCTACAAACGCTAGCAGACGCCGAACGCATCTCACTACTGTTCCCCCCACCGAAAGAGTATCGGGAGAAAGTCTTGAATATACCATCTAGTACTCGCTCGTCTCGCCTCGTGAACCCTTTTGAGCAGACGTTTCCGGCAGCTTCCAGTGGAGGGGTGCAGGATGCCTCTCTAGTAGCCTGTTTGCCCTCCTCTTCTAGTGTTTTCCCCCCTACGCCTCCTCCGAAGAATGAACAGCGTATATCGCATCATCGTCGCAAATCTACCAAAGAATTGGTCTCTCTATACGAAGCCAAAGAGAGTCAAAGCAAACCAAGTGGACCACGCATAAATCCGAATCCTGCACAGTCTGCTCCCGACTCGTCTCCTGAACTGGACTTCCGTGGAAGATACCGGAATCAGGGCCTCGGTGGCAAATCAGCTATGTCAGAGTCTAGAACTAGAGCCTCATTCCCAGGTCGAGAATCCATACGCAACTTTCTTGGGGCGTTCAATATTGCAAAGAGATCTAAAGAAGCGCCACGAGAATTTGTGGTGTTGAGGGACAAGGGCATCCTGAGAGAAGCCCCGATCATGCCCAAGGTCTGACTGTTTCAATACTTTGGCTATACGGGAGTTAAAATATCTGACGTCACCGTCCACACCACGATGGGGCAGAAAAAAGTCCTCAAGACTGGCGATGTCATTTATCGTCTCCAGAATACGTTTGGAGCGGACCGTTGGACGAAGTGCATCGCGACTTTAACGGAAACTCATTTGGAGTCCCACTTTCCAACCGGTGGGCCGAAAGGTAGTAACAACGCTAGCATAGATATGACTACGTGTCGAGGGGTTCGAAGTATACCGGGGTATAATACCGATTCACTCAAGAACATGAACGGCGCTAGTTTTGACTCTTTATATGTCTTTGAGCTGGAGCTCGGGGATCATAGCCGTAGGCAGCTCGCTACTACAAGCATCAGGGAGAGAGGGGAATGGGTAAGTAAAATCTGGTGAGTCCCGCCTAAGAGGAATAATGAAACAACATAAAATCATATCAACATATCTCAGGGATGTCATCTACACTCACCAAGGTTTGCTCCCTGGCAATGCGTTTGACGGAAACGGATCACCTACTTCAGTCAAATTCGTTAACGAACCACCCCTCAGAGTTGTCAACGTTTCTCATCTTACTGCCTTATCCGGACCGTCAACTGACGGGTCTACGTCGACTCATCCTAGCCTGGCCACAGATGAATGCAAATCATCCGTTCCGAGTCGCCCACTCTCTAGAAGCGAGTCATCTTCTCCAGACTCCTTTAACACTTCCATCACGTTCCACAGCCCCGAGATCTTATCGCCCACTCCTTCTAATGCTACTTGTCTTTCACCTTCATTCGTGTCAAGTCCCTCACTCCATGATTTGGATAGTCAAAGCATTGTCCGCAAACGGTTAGCATCAATCAGATCATCTCAAACTCCCCCAACCAGTCGCATTTTAACTCCTGGTGGACGCAAAGACGTAGCTCGCGTGACCGCTTACAGGGATGACTTAAGAGTGACGCAGAATACGAACTTGGAGGATCATTGCGAAGCTGTCCCACGGACTTTCGTATTCCCATCTCGTGCAAGTGGTGCTATAGCTGTTTCTAGTCGCATATCCTCGTCTGTGCATGGAGGTTACCCATCTGCTTCATCATCTATGCTTGTGACTCCCCTTCCTTCGAATCACTCGGAGCTGAGCAAACATCCATCTGAGGAATCCTCGTCGTCGTCGCACTCATCACCAACTGGAAGTGGAGACTACTCGGGCGGAGAAGATGAACGTCCTGAACTTGACTCTGGGTTTCCCCCGCGCTCCTCTCGACTAATATCCGAGTTCTCTTCGGCAATTAATGGGACCTATCCGTCTGGCCGCCCCAGCACCTCATTTTCTTCTAGTGAGGCCTCACGAAATCCTCTTACAACCGCGCCTAGCAATATTTCTCTGGCTGTATTGAAAAGAGTGGACGATATTCACAGCGAGCTGCAGTCTTTCAGCAAAGAAATTGGAGAGATTTCGTTTGTTGCTCATTCACTGTCACAATCGTGTCTCAGTCGGAATGAAGAAGTGACGGCGAGAGATGCACAACTCCTGGATGGTCTATCATCTGTGAATGCGAGACTAGACTCAATGGCGACAGAGGACAACTCCTCCCGGTATGAAGTGGCGCTAAACGAAATCTGCGGGGCTGTCAAGCTTTTGCCACATTTGGATAGCAAACTTGATGATCTAAAGGTCTTAGTGAATTCCGCACCTCTGTCTCCTTTCTCGCGTCGACGTCATGTCCCCCAAAATCTCGATACTTTCCATGATCCTTCCCCAACTAATGAAGCTGATGGCGGTAATGATCCAGATATCTCTAGCATTAACACCAAGCTAGATAAGATGGGAAGTCGTCTCCGTTCCTTAGATTCCTATACGCGCAGAAATAATCTGACGCCTGACATCTCGGCTAAACTCGACTCCATGGAGATCAAAATTCAAGCTTTGGCTAATCTTCCTGACAGCACGAAGGACCATGATCGCTCTGGGGCTGTGATTGCTCTGCTCGAAAGTCTGTCCGAGAACCTTAGTGCTGGCTTCTCGGGCACTGTTCCCGATTCGTCGTTGCATAACGATCTAAGAGAACTTCACCTGAAGCTCGATGCCCTGCAGAAATGGCTTGAAGCCCGTGATATGGCTGGTTTCCCAACTTTGAACGAGGAAACTTCGGATTCTGGATTGTCGTCTTTGCCTGCGGCTCAGGTACACCTCCTTTAAGCCCGATGCTTTCCAACCTGATATAAAAACAGGGCCAGGAGTGCAAATCCTCGGACGTGACGGATGCAGAAGCTATGACGTCGCGGATTGTCGAAGACAGTTCAGAGGTGACAGGGAAGCATTTATCTCCGCGATAACGACACTAAAACAATCTGCAGCTTCGGGACATCAAAGAGCTTTTGTCCACCAATGGCACGCAGCAAGAGTCATTAATTGTTCAGGCGTCCGAAAATGCCCGGTATCTCCAACGTACGCGTTCATTTCACAATCGGCATATAACTTGCACGGCATTGAAAACATTTGCAGAACTGAATCAATGGCTAGAAGGTTTCCTTCAACAACACTCTCATCAGGGTCAAGCCATTTTTAGTGGCGTCAATCAACTGCTCGACATGAATTCGTCTTCCCAACAAAGTGCTTCTTCAACTACCCAGATGTTGGGACAAATACATGGTTTATTGCCGGAGTTTCGTCAGCGAGACGCTATGCTGGATGCAGTTCACCAGAATCTGCAGTTACTGACTCAGCAGGTCGACCAAGTTGTTCAGCGAACGCAAATCTCCCTCGGTCCGTCAACACGATGGTAGAGTGTCAAACGTAATGCTGAGCACGGAACTTGTTTCTAGATCCCCGAGCCATCGAGGTCATGCTACACCGACATCACGTCGAAACTGAGGGATTGATTCGAACGCTGGCATCGGGTATGCGTTTGCACTGTGTCCTATTAACTCCAGAAACTTAACATATTTTTCCACTATCCAGAAATATCAAATGAAATACACGGGGAGCGGCTTCGGTTTGTCGAAGCCATGAAGGAAGCAACCTCGGTAAATTTGCACAATCAGATAATTGAAGTAAGTACAATATTGTTAGAGGCTAGAATACGACCCATTGGTTTATAACTTGTATAATCTACAGTTTAAGAAGCAACTGTCGAAGGAAGTGATAAGCATGGAACAGGAGTTATCGGATATAATGGCTGTGAAGTACTTGATTCGATCCCAGCAGTCTGGCAGAGTTGAAGAGAATGCTGCTTGATGGTGCCTTCCTCACAGTCGACCCCCCTGGGTGGATCGTGTGGCTTATTAGTGTGGTGCGCAGGTTCAATATATCGACATGTAGCCGCTATTCGGAGATCAGCAATCTTATCAATCTTGTGCTGTACGAAGTCAGGAGTCAGTGCGTTCTGCACCAGAAGGGACTACTATTGCTTACCTCAAACATATTCTGCATTTCCCCTTTCATGATGAGAATGTCGCCCTGTCACTGCATTAACAGATTATCGGCGGGAAAAATAACGTTACCCCAGCTCACATGTCTGAGTTCCAAAGCAAAGTTCGCGACCGATGTGCCTTTGGGCCGGAAAGACATCCTAGCAGGGGCGCCCATACTAAGCGATGCAACTATATCTCGTAGCCCATACTCGTCGTCACTGTGAAACGACATCTTCATGTCTTCCATATACGCGATAGAAAGGATTTCGTTGAAGTCTCCATCGGGCTCCACTATCCTCGTGGCTCTGCGGACACATTCAAATGCCATTTGCACACACGCAGGACCTATGAGGTCAATGGTTAATGGGAAAAATCATTGATTGTGAATTGAATACCTTGATGGAGGGGTATGTGCTCCTGGTTTGTTATGCTAGAGTACTGAATTCTTTTTGTTAGGACCCAGCTTCGACACACCCTGAGAGTACCCCAGTGACGGACCTTGTACGGCTGTCCGACTATGCGCAAATTGATGAGTTTTGAAAGTCTCACAAGGAGGAAAGGTTCAGACCATTGAAAGCAAAATGGCGGTTAATAGCCCCTTTGAATTGTCTCAATGTCGACGGCTTTCATAATGTAGGGATGCTCTAACCTTGGCGCTGTATTCACATTCATGAGGATGTGGTAGTGTTGTGAATTCTTACTGAACTTACTTGAGCTGTCTGTGACCTTAGCTCGCGTCGGATGAAAAGCTCAGCGACTTGATTATTCTTTTGATAAGCCTCAAAAATTGTGTCTGCGGGAGATGGCTCTGGACATCTCAAACGATGAAGGATGCAGCTGTCAACGGAAAAGTTCGTAAGCTGATTTTGGTACCGAGCCTCCTGGTTACCTTGGGTTCTCCGACAATATCCATGTTTCAATCTGGTAACCAGATATCTCCTGCATCTGGTACTGGAACAAAGGAAAGTTTCGTAGTTCTACCCTCAAATTGGTAAACTCCGCTGGGGATCTGATGCGATGATTTGCTTGTTGTTTATCCTAGAACATCTAATTTGTGAGTTAAGGTTGACCCAAGGGAATCGAATCTCTTACACCACATCCGGAACAGTCCCAATATAGCCAATGCGTGCGACGAGTCAGCTTTCCACATTTCGAGCAATGCCATCCAAACCAGGACATCCTTTCGGTGCTCAAACCAGTCACGGGTTCCTCTGGAATCATTTTGCATATAGACTTGAACTCCCTCGCCCCCGAAGTTAATTTAAAGGCATCGTCACAGTATTTGAGGTGTTCCCCGAAATTTTCCTGTGTAAAGGAGCATAGGTTCAATTACTCAAACGAACATAGGGCTACCGACCTTACGAAACTCTGTGCAACCTGGTATTAAACATAGGGGTTCGGCGAATATAAGAGGCGACTCTGCGAAGCATGCGCTGCAAACGTGAGATGCAATTCTGGGAACCATGAGCTGCAACCACCACCGGACGATGCACGTTGCGTAACTCACTCGATACGTGGTCCGATAGGTGGAGTTAGGGGCGAAAACCACCACGGGTCGGCTCTCTCTAACCACTCAAACCGAAACATGTAGCGGGTGGCTTTGAAATGTGAACCCTCAATGTTTGAATCATTGCCACACAGAAGTGCAGACCTTGTCCTTCTTTCTGAAAGGCTCCGCTCTTCGAGGTAGCGCTCGCCTCATCGGGATACGCTTCGTCGCTCACAAAGTCACTGCATTGACCCGCGCCACATGTTGAAATCAACTCACCCCATACGTGGGTGATTGCATAGGCACCCAACACAACAAACTTGTATTTTTGTCGAAATCGAAATGGGAAGCTCCTACACTTCGGCCCAACAATAAGAATGATGGCCTTGAAGTTTTTGTGCGCTCTCCAAAGGCTCTTGACTGATCCCGTATCAAGTGAGTGGTCTCGTGACATGGGACGACCTTTCATCTTATTCGGAGGGTCCGATTTTGCTGTGCATCCTCCACTAAATTACCCGTGAGTAGCGTTGCGCAATGACGAAACGAGGGAGATACCCGTGAGAAATGATAACACGGCCGTCAGCGCTGCATCTATCCCAACGACTTGGAAATCCATCAAGCAAGTAACCCATAGCGCCTTCGCCCTGCGAGCAATAAACTCCTACGTGGCTATTTTATGAAGGCAGTTTACTCGATGCTCATAACTACATACCCCCTTGGAAAGACCTAAAGTATGAGAGAGATTCCGCTAGCTCATGACGCCCCTGCCGGAACCCGATTAGTAATCTCGCTATCAGAGGACCTGGTATCGGTAAGCCTACCGTAGCCCACACTGGGGGCACGCAGTCCGACAGGACTGGCCTGTCATCAGGTGGTGGGAACCACGAAGAGATCGTGTCCAACGGGTACCGCATTGGTGGCACCTGTTCACACTGTGGAGGGAGAATTGGGGTGGGTTGCCGTTTCCAAATCTGAGATGATTTTGGCCTCTTTCCACGGTTTGGCATCGCAATAGGTAACGGACTAGATGCGTTGGACCTCGCGGCATTCTTCATTGGTGTTGAGGACAGTGCAGGGTAGGCGCTTTGAGGGTTTACCAGGATGATTTTAAGACTTCCGGATGTCGATGGGAGTTGAGAACGCCTCTTTCCTCCATTCCCAATCGTCGTGCCCTCACGAGTGTCGCTGGCGCCATGGGATTGATTACCATTTAGGGAGCGGGCCTTTTTGGTGGTGCTATATTCACCGTGCATTCCCGTAGGTTCGTGTTTACGCTTGACTTTGGAGGGTGCGGCCAAATGATAGCCCATCGGCTCTTGGAGTAGAAAAGAATATTCCTTGCAGGCTGAGCGGTCACATTGTTGTCCCCCAGACTTGCCGTCCTCTGGATATTGGCTGAGGGCCGCTTTACCACGACCCTTCCTCACTCCCTTTGCCCTTTTCCGTTTTCCCGCAACACGTAAGCTATCCACATGCTTTTGACGTCTCCCCTTCTGGCTCAGGCCCGAACGTGGGCCACCCTTCCCCTTGGGAGACACTTGGACCCGAGGAACCGCCTGGGGTTCGACAGTGGGAGGAGTTGTGGACGGCGTTGTCCTTCGTATCTCGTACAAAGAAAGCAGGCTAGACTGAAACCTCGAAGACGCATCCACTTCTAGGAGTGTCAAAGGACTCACCTTTGAAGCTCGTCGCACGCTTCATGCCAAATTGGCATATAATCACCAGCGCCAAGCGATTGCCTGTCTTGTAGCAAGTCATAGATCCTAAACAAGGTTTCAACGGCAATTTCGAGAAGACGTATGTTCATCATGGGAAGCTTTTCAATCTGAGATTCTGATAGACCGAACGATTTAAGCCACCCTGTTATCCACTACATGCATATAAAGCATCAGTATTGATACCCGCTGCATGCGCAGGTGAGACAAACTAACATTCCCCATCATTCCTCGTTGACTATAGGCAACTTGATGTCGCCATTCTGACCGACGCTTCTCTTCGTTAAGTGTCTGGCGTCTGCGAGAACGCTCGGATTTCTCTGCAATAAAGCAATTAATATCTCCTGAAAAAAGGCCCCATTTAAGAGTCCTCCAATCATCGCTGCATGGATTTTCAATGAATGGTGCACTCATATGCGTGCGTGTCAGAGCCAAGGCTAGGCAGGTTACTATTGGAATAGAAGTGAAGACACACTTGGGGTTGACACACCGATCTGTCTGATATATATTTATGTGGCGTCTTCGTCACGTGACTTTTCGACGAATAGACGCAAGCATGTCGATCCGTTTTATTACCCCGCGGCCTTGTTATCAATGCATCACTAGTAGCATCTCAACGTGGTTTGCTAGAGGAGAAGAAAAATGCCTCGTGAACTGTGTTGGATGTTTCCTTGACACTTCCCTGCACATGGTCAACCGCTTGGAAGCAAATAGATGGCCCATTCTTCATTATGAATGGAGGGGCACTACAGTGGTGAATGCAGCGATAAAAGGTGTCCATCGGTCTATCTTTCTCTATCCATCTCATATTGGGTCGGAAAAAAACTATCTCACTGTGCCCACAGGGGTTGATTGTAAGGCTGGTTGGGGTGCCAGCCTTGGTGACTCCTCAATCCTCAGGCTGTCGAGAGCTAGACTGTATGGAGCTAGTATTTGACAGGGGGGGAGGAGAAGAGCAACGCCCCTTTTCCCGACCCCGGACACTATATATGTATATACAGTTGTTATACATTGTTTAGTTCGAAGATTATTAGAGAATGCGTGCAAAGTAGGCAGGACTCCAGCCTCTATGACTTCGTAATATTATATAGATGCACAAAAGCGTGCATCATTCATCCCTGACATCCATTCCTTACATTGATCCTTCTGTAGGTTCACCTATGGAAACCTTGTTATGACTTTTACTTCCCTGAAATAATTGTAAGGCTGGTTGGGGTGCTGGCCTCGGTGACTCCTCAATCCTCAGGCTGTCAAGAGCTAGACTGTATGTTTGTGTAAGGCCTGAAAAGGCCATGCATGCACTCTATTTTTATCTTGTATATATTTAACATATTATGTTCTTGATATCGCGCACGAAAGCATGCTTGTTTATTATTTACTCAAGCCACATGTATTCGCCGACTCCGGCACAAAGTCGTACATAGTATATAAAGTGGCGTGGGTGGGTAGATTGGCTCTTTAGCCTATCTACTCCCCTGTTGAAATTATAGCTTGTTACAGCATATATTATGGACGGTCTGGGAACCAGGCCATCAACACAACTAAGTGCTTCAGGTAGAAATCTACCCATGACTATCTTACAGTTTGACAGGGGAGAGCAAAGCCCTTTTCCCGACCCCAGATCATATACAGCTGTTATACATTGTTTAGTCCGATAATAAAGAAATAAAGGAATGCGTGTAAAGCGTGCATCATCCATTCCTGACTGTCCATTCCTTACATGACTCAATGGAGTCGAGCGTGTGGCATTGTGTTACCTTTCTTGGTACCATGCTTGTGCACTATTCAAAGTGCCTCACTTATAAAGTGAGAAATTCTCTTTATACTTTATGTCTTTCCTCAGTTCACGTACTACAGAACTGAGGTGAGATAGTTTTTTCCTGGTCTTGTGTCCTGGTACATTGTGTCTGACTCATGTGTAATTGCTAAGTAACTTGAATATTATTTTAGTTCACGTACTACGGAACTGAGAAACATATCACTAGCGCAAATCGCTACCATTCTAATATTTGGATCTCCGTAAACTCCCCTCCTCGGAACCTCTCTATTCCTCTGATGCAACATCCCCGTGTCATTCATGTCATTCTGGATGCGTCCAGTTGGTATGCTCATTCAGGCCAATTGCCATGTCGTTCTTTGCTTGCGGCTCAAGGCCTAGTTCAATCTGCCCAGTGTCACTTTGCCTGTTCTGTAGCGGAGTCTTTATCTTGTCCATTTTTTCATCTTTTCCCTCTTGGAGGATGTGCCTCTCATTATTCATGTTTCGATTCTGGATCCTATTATTGTCGCCTTCACCATGGGATGGCCCCATGGGCAGAATTTATGGTATCTCGGGCATCTTCCCTTCATCCTCCGTCGTTTTCCACCTCGTTCCGCAGGGTATGTGGCATTCATGTTTCATTTACTTAGTCGCTAGGATTTGGGGCCGGGTCTTATCTTTGAATCGAGGAATTTAATTGCTGGTGGGGAGGGGAAAGATAATGAAGAGGGAGAGATAAGAGAGGGGGAAAGAAAAGAAAAGATAGCGGTTGTGGCGGTTTGTTTGTGCATTTGTTTGAGGTTTTATTTCGTGTGTGTGTTTGTTAATGGTCCGACGAGGGTGACTGTATTGTAGTGGAGTTAGCCGAATCTATTGTCCATAACTTGTGGCTGGGGTTTAGTTATCGCTCGTCAAATATGCATTTAACTGGTGACATGATGCTGAAGAGCTTCGTAGACCTCTAATTCAATGCGAGCTTCAATCTTTTCTTCCTCCGAACCACTCCCGGCAATGACACGTTGAGCCTCAGCAAGATTTGAACGAATAGCCTAAAGCGAGGATCGCATGAGGGTAAGGATTACAATCTAAGCCATAAGAGATAAGATGTTCTACGTACTTCGATCGAAAACTTGTCTAGGGACGCGGCCTCAACCGCATTTATGGTGAGAGAGCTGCCAGGGTGCACGACAGCAAATCCTCCGCTCACTAAAGATGTGAGTAGTATAACGCAATCCCCGCAGAACGAGAAACAACCCACCGAACCACTTCTGACTCTGTCCCCCAGATTCGATGATCTCCAAAACCCCTGGGCGGAGAGGCTCTACAGATGGGACGTGGCTCGCAAGAATGCCCATATCACCTGATGCTGCAGAAATGTTGACCTGAGTGACATCGGTAGACTTGAAAATGGTCTAGAGAAGAGCCTGCATGAGACCAAATCCTAGGCAGAAATACTGCTAATTGCATCGATACGGGACAGCGCAAGGACTGCCCCGAATTCCTCCGTCATGCGGTGGGAATGAAGCCAGCGTCACACGAACCTCATGAGGAAGAACAAGCGAAAGTTGCAGCTTGTCGGGAGATACAGCCTCCGCGTAGCCACGACGGGAAATAACGCCCAGTGAGGGCGTAGTCCTTGAGGCAAGGCGACGAACAGCAAATGCTCCGGATGAGGTTACAAAGGTGCGCAAAGCAGACATCGTGGGTAACTGAAAGGAAAGTGCTCGGGGTAAATAGGTGTCAACAACAGCCAAAATTCGCAAGTGTTTGATCACTAGAGTGCGTGCTTCGCATCGCAACAACCTGCACAGCATTCACGGAAGAATGAGAGATGACATGCAAGTGAATTGACGGATATGTACAGTTAAGAAATGGTACATCAGAGGAAATGGAATGGGAAGTTTTGTACAGGGAAATTATTGCCATTTGCAAAATTCGAGGCAAACTCCGAAATTCAAAATTCCGCAAAATCTTTCACGTCACTGCTCACTCAAAACTCGACCGATTTTGGCGATTTGACATGCATTGGAAAGCGTCCAAGTAGCGCTTCATGATTGTTCGGATGGCGCAGCAATATGAGAAGATTTTTTTTCTTGCCGATTTGCACATGAACAGTGGAATAGTATCGTGATTTGAGTGCAATGTTGTGCGCACATGTCCTTTATTTAGCACTTTCTGAACATCACAACATTAATATTAGATTATGGAGGCAATGGACATGACATTGGCACTGGGGATGAGTCTGAAGTACAGCCACCAAAATGCGCGACAAATTGGTAAATCATCTGAGTTCGGATTCTCACAACTGTACAGTTCCGCCTCTCTTCTTACTCCCATCTACATGTCCACATGGTCACAACAAGAGGAATGCGACGGGCAGTGGATGTGCCACCACCGAGCGAATCTGATCCCACCGCCACTCACGCAGTAGTGACTGTGGCTAAGCCCATGGTGAATCAGAAACAACGTGGTAGGCGTCGAAAAGAAATGCCACCGCCTGAGATCGTCAACCCCCTTCCTGTGGGCCTGGTGGTTGAGGAACCAAGTGAGCCCCAGGTTGTTTCCTCGGTTCCTGCCCTTGTTTCCCCCATTCTCGCCCCCATTTCTCCTATTCTCGCCTCTGCCGCTGACCCTCCTGTCGTGAGGAAGACCAGAAAGCCGCGCACTAAAGCCAAAGCAATTGAGGCTGACCAAACAGAGCAGATTGGCATTCCAGAGTACACATTTGCGGTCGCAAATGCGCGAATAATTCAAGAAATGCCTAAGGCACCCAGCGGTCCTGCCACTTTGGGCGCAGTTAACCCAAAAGAAGTTATAAATGTCAAGCACGAGAACAAAAAGCTGCAAGTTGCAGCGAAAGTTTCCGCAGTCATTCCTGACTCCGACTATGCGATGATGAGTGAACTTGAAGATCTATCTAGTGATGAATCTGAGATCACTGGTGCGCTGGGCGCAGACGATGCTCCGGCGCTAGTCCAAGAGGAGGCAGTTGAAGGTGAGTGCCAATTCTCATTCCTCACCCCGCTGAGACTGGTGTCATTCATGTTTACCTACTCCTATAGACTACATTATAGACTTCGAAGTTGAGACTGACGATGTCGTCAAACTTCTTCGACTACCCATATCTATGTCATGGTGGACATTCCAGGATCAGATTGCCGAGACAATGGGCTGCCATGAGACCCGGCTACGCTTGGGCTATAGGCTCAGCACTGCAAGAGCGGGAGAGAAGGCACACAGCCTCGAGACACTGGACGAGTATTCCGAAATGCAACAAGAAATAGTCTCGGAACGCGAGAAACGGGTGGTCCTCCAGAAAAAGGCGTCCAAGATGAAGCCTCCGAAGGCGTTGAAAGTGTTGATTAAGGACAGGCGAAATAAGGCTGAGAAAAAGGTGTGAGAGTAGATAGATGTTCAAGAATCTCATGCAACGCTAATGCTAACAAATTTGTAAGACCATCGCGAAACCAAAAACCGCCTCAAAAACTTCTTGTGCTAAGCTCAATAATAGTGTCGGTCCAGACTTGGTTGAGTCCACATCGGCAACGTATATGCGGCAACTCACAAACAAATACGGCAATTGTAATCAACATGGAGGGGAATCCTGTTTTGTCCGGCCTGATGGGACTCATCGGCACTTGACTATTGCAGAGCTCACTTTGTGGGCAATTTCCATCGTAAGTCTGATATTGGTTTGCTTGCTATGTAAAACTTATGACTACATAGGAATTGCACTGTGCAACCCTCTCGGTTCCTCCTGACTCGCTCAAACTTTCAAGTGAGAACGATACCCGTCCTCCCAAACCCAGCAAGTCTTCTGGCCCTAAACAAACACCTGGTGCGACATCTGGTTATCCACCACCACCAATTCCAGGTGCCATGTGGCCATATCCCACAGGATTTGCGCCGTTCAATACCGCCGTGCCTCAGGCATATGCAAGTCACGATGCAGGTGTAAATCCCGGTGCAATTCCAATCCGTCAGTTCGCATTTTAGGATGATCTCATGTGTTGCTCACTGTTGGTTCTGTTTATAGCGCCAAATTTACGCTACATGTCAATTGAAAAACTCCTTGAAGTGCTCGATGAAGAAGAACTGCCGCCAAAATCTCACCTCACGATGAAGTACAAAGAGCAGTTTGCATCACACGGCTTTCGCACCATCTACGATTTGACTGATACCGATTATCTCAGCCCCAAAGTACTTAGTGAACTCCTTGAGCCTAAGCCTCCCTTTGCAACCTGTGTACGCATCATAAGGCGTGCGAAGGATGAAGTACAACACACTCAAGATGCTTATCTGTCTGGCGATAGGTCGGTTCTCATCTAGTACTTGATTTCACAACCGCTTCACACCCTCAGTTCCCCTTTTCCCATGCGAATATATACCTTTCATGTAAATACCTTGCATTTTTTCATTCAGTCCATGCTCTCCAGGTGGCGGACGCTATTCTCAATGTTTGACCGATCACATGTTACAAGCCAGGCCTGTTGCAGCGTGCATGTGGTTCTCCAAGTTGGACTGTTTTTCATTATTCCGCAGGCTCTCGAACATTATGAAGATCTGGCCGATATCAAGGGCATCATCGTCCACGCTAAGATTCTCAGTCCGGATGTACGTCAGTTCCCTTTCTGTATGATCTAGTGGGTTTAGTCGACTCACCATTGATCAATCATTTGCTTGTATGAACAAGATGCTTTGCATATCCAGGCCGTTACTTGGACTGGCCAGATCTGCGAGGTCGAACGAATTTGCCACGAGAGCAATTACTACAATCCAGAATTTCCTCAAGGAATCGAAACTTTCCAATCAACTCCCGCTTATCATTGTCTGTTTATCAAAATGGATCGGTCAAGTTTATGTTCAACACGTCAACACCGCCCGCACACCTCAGGTTGTAGGCGGCCTCCTGGACGTTGACTGCGACGAAGCGACTATCAAAAGTCTTCTCACCTCCATTGTTGGAATTTTCCCCATCAATAAGCTCGCTGAGAAACGTAATCACCTCAAACCCATTCAGCCTTGGGTTGAGGAACCAAATAATGTGCGTGCCAGACCCTTTAGCCACCTTCGTGCACACTCACCAAAAATCCCAATTATATCCGCCTTTGGTTGTTGGTAAATATTGCGAGGCCCGCAATCCATACCTTGCATACATTGCCCATGTGAAGGGCTTTTGCGATGGCATCACAAATGCTAACTCCATGTTCAAACGCCAAGCTCGCTACTTGGTGAAGCGTTGTCATCTCAAACTTCGGGCTCACGTACTCGTCCCTAGCAATGGCCATCGCCATCAGCTCCTTGACCAGGTCTGTCCCATCTGGTCATCCATTGATAAGTACTTAACACACTCTTGAATCGGGGTTACTGCTGTCGCCATCCCTGAGGCCACTGACCTGGATGATGTGTCAGCGACTGTTGAGGCGTTCATGGCCACCGATCTTTCCATCGAACTGATCGAGATGTTGGAGAAGATTGTCATTGAATCCTCACCTCTCAGCGAAAACAACAACCTCCAAAATCTTTTACTCCTCAGTGCCATCCGCTCCCATAGGGCTAAGGTGGATGGCTACATCCACAAACTCACCAACTACGACCACTTGGATATCGCCTGTATTGTGACTGACAATGGTTTATACAAAGAAGCGTTCTGAGCAGGGGGTAGATTATGCCAACAAGGTTGACTGTCTGGGCCCGGCTTGCCAAGGCTCAGCTCAATGGATTGCGCATCAAGGATTCGATTGGTAAGTAGAAATCGTCCCCAGAATGCGATTTGTGCTTATCCATGCGTCTGCCAGACTCGTACATCAAGGCTGGCGATCCCTCCAACTTCCTTGAGGTTATTGAGATCGCTAATCGTGCTGGCAAGCAAGACGACCTCGTCCGCTATCTCCAAATGGCGCGCAAAACTCTTTGTGAACCGAAGCTCAACACCGAGTTGGCGTATGCTTATGCCAAGACAGATCGTCTCCACGACATGGAAGATTTCCTTGGCATGACGAATGTGGCCGACATTTTGGATGTTGGAGAGAAATGCTTCAACGGTGAGCTTTACCAAGCTGCGAAATTATTGTTCAGCAGCATTTCGAACTGGGCTCATTTGGCGACAACACTCATATATCTCGGCGAGTATCAGGTGGCAGTTGAGAGTGCTCGCAAGGCCGGTAACACAGAGTGAGTCACGTCGGTACATATATCCTGTTTGCCATGCCAAAAAGCTTTGCTGTAGAGATTTTATACAAACTACACATTGATAGCCACAAATCTGTGGTCTGAACATCATCGTGCACGCCGTACGTATTCTCGATTAACTCCCCAGAGGCCTCGTTGCTCATCTGCCCACCATATCAGGAGGAATTGTCTGCTGTCATGAAGCTCTACGAACATAATGCTGATGTTTTGGATAGATGGGTATTTTCACAGAGCCAGCCATCCTATATTCTAAATATCGCCCAGAGAGATGTAGGTGCGGAGACTCGCCGGGATGAATGATTTACTCATAGCCTTGGCCAGTGATGGAGTACCTCAAGCTCTTTGCCTCTCGGATCAACATCCCCAAGGTGAGCATCAATTATGGATTCTAATTGCATCTGGCATTTCAAAGGCGATCAAAGCTGTGGAGAAAGCCCTTTTGTGGCCTGAGCTTGTGTTTTCGACGTCAAATATGATGAATTCGTGAGTGGAAACCCTCTACCCCACAACCTCTACTGCAACTATAATCGTCTACCGTAGGACAACGCTTGTTTGTCAATGGAGCGTGCAGCGGATGCTTGGGAACATAACCAGTTCAACGAGGTCATCGTCAAGGTTGCAAACATCGAAATGTACGTGTTTCTTTGCAACGTGCAATCATAGTCATGATACTGACCACGAACTTCTCTAGTTACTACCGCGTTAGTCAATGTACTTGTCCCATTCAGTCTCTCTACTGACGAGGTTTCCCGGCTCTCTCCTTTTATCTCGGAGAGCAACCCATGACCTCCTCGGCATTCTGATCCCTCGAATTGACCATTCCCGTGTTGTCTGCATGTTCAGCACCTAAGAGAATGACAATCTTCTCCTCATCAAGCCTTACCTTATCTCCATTCAACACGTGAGTCGTCATACCGTGACACACAGACGATCCCTAATAAAAGGTTTTGCCATAAAGCTGAACATTGAAGCCGTCAATGAAGCCTACAACAACGTGCTGATAGAAGAGGAAGATTATGACACTCTCTGTGATTCGATAGACAGCTCTGACCGTTATGATTCCATCGCCCTTGCTAAGAGGCTAGAGCAGCACGAACTACTCGAGTTCAGAAGACTGGCAGCACATCTCTATAAGGTGATGGAGTTATGCTGGTCATGGCCAGTACTTCCGCTAATATGACACGCTTATAGAAAAACAAGCAATGGGATATATCGATTACATCATCGAAGCAGGACAAACTTTTCAAAGACGCCATTATCACCGCAGCTGTGTCGGGCTCAACCGAGGTCGCCGAGGATCTATTGTCGATATCGGGAACAAGGTGTGCTTTGCCGCTATGCTTTACGTCTGCTTCAATTTGTTACCTCTTGACGTCGTTATGGACCTATCTTGGCAACATGGCCTCAACGACTTCTATATGCCCTATAAGATTCAATCCGAACGTACTCTAAACGAGAAGGTCGGATACGGTCGTTTCTCCCAGATTGTCCATCAAACTTAACGCTGCATTCACAGATCACTCAGCTCAAAAGAGAGGTCAAGGAGCGGACCAAGAAGGAAACCCAGAAGGAACAAGCGGAAGTTGAGATGCCGATAATTGCTCCTGGTGGGATTCTACGGATCACACAAGGTGGCGAGTTTGGCTCCAGTCTTGGCGCAGGCGTGACCCCTCTGTACGCTAACAGAACAGGGTTACCCTCACTCCCCACTGTATGTTTCGTGATGACCTGTGCAGCACTTCCATTCTAACGTTGACTGATAGGGCTTCGGTTCCTAATTTCGTTTATCTTCAACATTTCTCTTCTGGACTTGCACTTTACACCTTATCCCCTTCATCATTTGCATGTAATATCCGTACATTTACCGGCCAAGTCTATGCTATTGTACCCGTTTCTATCCTTCCAGCTTAGTGGCTGGGGTCTGAGCAGTGAGTCGGGGAATCCACTCACGAAGGTCGCCAAGATGGGTCATCTCCACGATATGGAAGATTTCCTTGGCATGACAAACGTGGCCGACAACTCCTGGCCCCACTCTTGCGTTTCATTTCTCACTGCCTGGAGGACCACAACTACATTGAACATTCTACAAAATGTAATTACATTTACGGAACCATGAATGTGCAAGTTCAGGTGTGATACGAAAGATATATTCATGCAAACGGGTGATTGTCGCGATTTTGGCATCATCATTATCAGTGATGCACATATCTTCACGAAGCACCTCATCGCGTTGAGTCAAACCTTTCAGCCAACCAAAGGACGGTTCGATTGGGCTGAAATCAGGGCTGTAAGGTGAAAGATAGACAACTTTTTTGCCACTAATAAAGACTTGTTAGCGTTACTTGTTGAAATAGAAGTAGACATGTATATACCTTGATTCGATCATTGACTTGATGTGTTCCCCTTTGTGAATACGGCAATTGTCCATCACGACAACTGAATTTGGCCCAGGAAAATCGTTCATTTGCGCCAGTAGCCCGTTGATGAAATCGGTGAATAGCTCGGCAGTGAATGAGCCTTCCACAATCTTCAGCCGAATAATGCCATCGAGGCATAAAGCTGGTAAGACGGAGTATCTGAGCCTTTGTATGAGATTATTTTCCACAAAAGATGAGAATTATTCATACCTTCGACCCCGAATGAAGTGGCAGCGCTTTGTCGCGCACTCCCCACGGAGAGACCAGCCATAATCACGATATGTAGTACGCTTATCGAATGAACTCTCGTCAATAAAAACCAGCTGCTCCGGCTTATATTGTCCAATTTCGAGTAGAAAATTGGCCCGTTTGACTTCGCTGCGCTCAATTGCCACCTTCGTCATCTGTCACAAAATCATGGTTAATAAATACAAGGGGAAATGGGTAAAATAGCCACCTTTTTCCATGTCAATCCAGCATTCTGTAATGCACGCCAAATGGTGGAAAGGGATACATCAAGATCCCGGAACTCACGCAGGTGAGCTTGGAGTTCTTCAAGGTAGAAATCTTTGCGGAATTCCAAAAGACCTAACAAGTACTAACCTATGCACTTAGAGAGGCCAGGAATATAGTGATTGGAAAAATACTTACATTGATATCATTCTCTTCTATGAGGCGTGGCTGACCAGCTTTGGATGGCCCACGTGAAATTCTGAATGCGCCACCATTTGCCTGGCAGTTTTCACGTACACGATACACTGTCCGTAAGCTCACACCAGCTACCAATGCAATCTGTTCAGGATGGACATGGAGTGCCAACATCCTTGCAACAATATTGCCACGTTCCTCAGTGATCCTCTGGACACCTGAAGTCACCAAAGCAGTAGTCGCACTTGTAGGCACACAGGGGACAGTGCCACTCAGAAGATGGTCCATGGTCTAGCGGGTTTGTTCAACAACGGTGACTTTGCTCTCGTGACTATGATATTAGGAGTTGTCCGAATTATATTACGTTTACGCTGTTCCCTTTGTCTTTCTAGGAAGTCATACGCTCTTTGTGTAACCTGTTGCAGGGCTTATTCAGACTTTCAAGACCTCCCAGCACGGAAAACACCAAAAAAAATATATATATATATTTTTTACAATTTGGTTTGCACCTGCTTCATGCACTACTTGGACGCTTTCCAATGCATGTCAAATCGCCAAAATCGGTCGAGTTTTGAGTGAGCAGTGACGTGAAAGATTTTGCGGAATTTTGAATTTCGGAGTTTGCCTCGAATTTTGCAAATGGCAATAACTATGGTACACGAGGGGATGGGGATGCTATGTACATGCAAGTAATGGTACAAGATGTCATCATCAACAGTGAGGCTTGAAGAGACGAAGACACAAAGAGGGAAGTAGCACAAGAAAAACGCGTAGTAGTACATGAATGAGGACCCGATTCTGATGTGGCTTGTCAGGAAGGCAAGATAAAAGAATAACGATAGCTTACAGAGAGCTCGCTTGGAAGGGGAAGCCGTAAGAGCGGACACATCGTCAGGCGGTTTAGGGCCATCGCCTAAGTAAGCAACTCCGATTAGTTTGAAAGCTGCTCTGTTGAGATTAGTGCCCGACTCCTTGAATTTCTCTAAAAGGCACTGCGTGACAACGATGTCGCCGGGTTTGAGGTCATAAATATATGGCTCATTTTTGTCTTGCTGAAAGTTGTACGAGCCTAAAGGTTTGGCATCGTATATGTTCTTGAAACGCCCCTCCTATGGGTCGGGTATGAGAAGGGGATTATAGTCAGGGAGAAAGATGCTTACATCAGATGTAAATGCCATCATTGGCACAGAATCCGAGGTAATGCTTATGTTCTTGGCATTTTCTGGAAGAAGATTGAAGCGTGTAAACTTAGTTGAAGTCTCAAATATTACTTACTGTTCGTATACGTGTTGATGAAATTCATAGCATTGACAAATCCTTGTCACGTAAGAGGAATGATTTCAAGCGCATAATTGCTTTCATATTGTTTAGCGCGTTTAACGATTCCTAAGAAAAGAAATCGGACTCTGGAACCGATGAAGTTCTTTCCAATCTTGCAATTGAAGGCATAAATTTTGTTAGAAGTCAAGAAAGCGAAGCGCATGTCAGAGGGTTTAAGGAGTTCATGTTGGAATAACCATCAGGGATGGAGTAACCTCCCTGGCATAACGGGCGAGTAGTGTATGGATGCATGCTAGAGGTCCTGGGTTTGATACCAGGCTTGTCCATTTTATGTCATTTGTCCAGTCACCTGGTTTACCTCAGTTGAATTCATGACATAAGTCTATAGTGCTAGCAGTGTTGAATTTCTTCATGGTGGACAGCCACGGTACATCAATTTGGAGGCTAACACCCCAAATTGAGGGTGAGTGTTGGAATAACCATCAGGGATGGAGTAACCTCCCTGGCATAACGGGCGAGTAGTGTATGGATGCACGCTAGAGGTCCTGGGTTCGATACCAGGCTTGTCCATTTTATGTCATTTGTCCAGTCACCTGGTTTACCTCAGTTGAATTCATGACATAAGTCTATAGCGCTAGCAGTGTTGAATTTCTTCAGTTCAATGGCAATGATGCCTTCTTCTTCGAGGTAGTTAACTGTGGTGAATGCATAGAGCTGTCTGAGGATTAAAGTGAGGTTGCATTTATAACAGTGGACAGCACCACTCACTCAAGAAAGTCGGAGGGGAACCGACAGCGATTGTCAAAGGTGGTATCAGGTGGGTAGTCAGTTGCAAGGAGTGCGTCATTGTCTGTAAGGCCGTCATGTGGAGTGGTAGTGAATCTCGTCATAACAAATGCGGAGGGGTGTAGGACGAGATCGGACACAGGATCTTCTTTATTTTCTTCAATTTCTTCGATCTTGCAGTCTATAGAGGGAAGTCATGTGAGGGAATCAAGCAAAATAGGGGAACATACCATTATCGACTGTATCAGACCAGTTATCAGGAGAAGTTAAGCGGGGGAGATCAGAGGGTGTACTTTCTTTGGAGTCTGGACTCGCATTGTCTGATGGAGTTCAAAAGGATAATGTGTCAGCATGCAAGTGAAAACATTAATAATTAAAGTACAGACTTTGTGTCAGAGACCAGGGTCGAGACGAAGGAATGTCTCCGCAACGGGGGGCTTCGGCCTCAGCAACTTCTGCCAAGAGCGCTGTGCCTAGTGACACGTCCGTGCCCTAACTTACTGACTGGCAATTAGAACCTAGGGGGGGTAACTCTAGTTGATTTTTCTACTGGGGCGTAACCTATGTACAAGTGGGATATATATATGGTTACAGCGGAGATGGTTCCGCAATTGGCGGAGCCGAACGGAGCGGAGCTAACGGGGTTTAACCATTAGCCGACTGAATATTACCGATGAGTTGGTTCGCGGGGTTAGCGGAAAGGCAGGCGATAACCCAGAAACGGAAAGGAGGGATAAGCCCGAAGGTGGACTCTGCAGGGCAGGCGAGTGTATTGCCCAGCGGAGGCGGGGGTGCGCTAGCGGACGTCGGAGCTGTCCGGAAGTCTTCAGGGCTCCGTACTTAGGGAGGCGTAGGTAATAAATTGAAATGAGGGGGTGGTGACCATCGAGGGGTACCGAGAGGATTGCGGAATAATGGGGGCTCCAAGGTCAGTGAGGGAGGAGCGGAGTTGGAATGGAGGAATCGGAGGGACCGGAAGTCGATGGCCGGGGATGGATATGACACTTTGAGTATTCGTAGGTTCAACACTGTGATCATCGGTAGGAGTCTCAATGGAATCTAGGACGAGTAATGTAAGGGAAGTGAAGACAGAAATTGCGTGGAAATGGAGGCGCACCAGAGGTAGTTGCAGCGAGCATGTTACTCGTAGAATCAGGGATGGCTGGAGAGATTGTGTCAGAGGTTAAAGAGGAAGGGATAGTCGATGGAAGAAGCGCACGTTGAGTAGATTCAATTGGATTAGTTGTCATATTCGAAGGAGAAGCAGTGTTAGTGGTGGCGTTGCGTCTGGTTTTGGTCATCGTGAGCATAAAAGCGTTGTAGGAGGGGGTGGTGTTGAGAGAGATGGGGGCGTCGGGATGGAAGTTAGGAAGGGTATAAGTAAGTTCTTGGGGAGGCAGATGTCCAGAGGGGTGTGCAATGGGTAAGGGATCTAATTCATGGGCAAATAGTGCGTTGAAGTATCATGGGGGAGGTCATGCGTGGGTGCCATGTATTGCGAGGATAGGGTGGCACGGAAGGGGAGAGAATGATTGCATTGACCCAGAATATTGGTTTTTTGCTTTCTTGGCAACACGGAACGAAATACTGTAAGCGATAAATTGTGAAGGTCAGATTGGAGAATTTCTGACGTTATGGAACGCGGTGATTTGTGGTGTATTTGGGCAATGTTATAGGTCATGGGGACGTATGATCTGACATGCAACCAGTTGTAGTAGGTGTTGACGGTATGGGAAGGAGGAATCAGGGTGCATTATGTAAAAGAATTTGTGAAGAATGGATAAATGCGTACCGAAGAGATGTGTTGGTCAAGATGAATGCAAAAAATAGTCATGGTGAACATTGTTATCAGGACAATCTGTGAAATAAAGCAAGAAATCAATTTGTTGGTATTATGGAGTTTATAGTACTATTGAAGCAATTCAATGAATCGCGTGTAATGGTGAGGGTCAGTAAGAGCAGTGTGTGTCGTTCGTTTCATCATCATCATGGCCTGGCGTCGACTATCGAAACCAGACGTGATATCTGTACTGGAACGGGAAGGAAAGCACTTAACTCGATCCCAGAAACGCTCTCGTAATCTTTTGAATGAAGAAATAAACCGTAGTGGTGATGGTGTCATTCAGGCACTGAATGATTTGGCCCATCAGCGCGGGCTCGAACATGGCTTTCTGGATATCGCGACTGAGAAGGAAAAACTGTTGTGTGTGTCACGGTTTTTGAGTGCTACATCGAATGTAGCCGTGAAGGGTGGTGTTTGTGGATGTTGTGGAAGGGAGGTAGGGGCGGGTGCATGGACAGAGGTTCAGTTCGTGGAAGTTCCGAATGTTCATCAGTTGCAACCAAGTGAAGTTCACGATGGAATGCGATTGACGTTGGGGCTTTTATTGAATGAAGCGGCATTGCGTGAAGGTGATGATGGACACAGGATTGTGGGATGTGTTATGAGTGTCTTGGATCGTTAAAGAGAAACAAGAAGCCACTCTATTTGTTGGCGAACGGGTTATGGCTGGGGGAAGTGCCTGAAGAGATCCAAGAACTTACGATACCTGAGCAGATGCTCATTGCATTGGTTTATCCTCAATGTTTTGTCTTCAAGATGCATCCTATTAACAATCGAGGGCTGGATCCAGATTCACTGCAGCGTTGAAGGAGAGAACGAAGGAAGGTCAGTTGGGAGGTTCAAACGAGACCACCACCAAGCTGTTCCCTGGTTCTTTAGTTAGGATGGGGAAGTGTACTAGTGTTATTTATTGTAAATATAGTACCAATCCGAGTGTTTTGGCTAATTCTATTTTTATGGGTTAGTTTTAAAGTTCCTGGGAATTGACTTACAGATAAACCAAGCCCTGCGGAGCTGTTTCTTTATTGAAATTTATTAATTTGTCTAGGTGTAATTCTGTGTAGCGTTGTTTAATTTGGATTTAAACTTGAATTTAATCTTCTACTTGGTGAAGTTTCAAAGATTCTGTTCAGTTAATGAATTTGGATTGTGTCTGGAGTGTCAAGATAACTGTTTTGTGTTTACACTTTGAAATCTGGAGTGTTAACCAGCTCTCCTGTTGAAATATCTACTTAATATTTCTCTCCTTAATTGCTGCCTTTTACTACAGTGGCAATCTTAACTGTATATCACTTTTTCGCACTGGAGTGACAACCAGAAATGCTTGAGAAAAATAATACTCTATTTTCTTACTTCTCTGAGGGGGGCGAAAAGTCGCAGAAAGGGTCTCCTTTTTATACTCCTTGGGTTGCCTTCCTTTTTCACGCTCTACCTTCTATTTACAGGATTTATTTACAGTGTATTTTTCTCAAACTGAATAAAAAATGAAAATTTCACACTATAGTTCTACTGCGCTTTTGCTGCGCTGAACTGCGGTTCTACTGCAGTCAGACTGCGCCTAGAATCCTTATTGTCCTCCCTTGCCTAAGCTATTTTAATGGTTAATTAGAACTTGGCTGCGCTGCATTTGCCGCAGTTACCTATTTCAAATTCCCTATATATACCATTAAATTTGCTATGACTCGATGATTCTGAATTCAAACTTCGCATTACTATGCGTACGGCTGTGCTGGGACCTTCAGCTGATTTATTCCATTTTTATTTAGTGACATTTAGTTAAAATGAGACTGAAATGGTAAATGAGTGAATTATTCAGGTTTAAAACTGAAAGTAAAAGTTGCTAGTAGTCAAGAATTACTCAAACAAATGTGTTATAGCTCTCCACCTCATTAGAATATCGTTCCCTAAAATTCCCGCCATGGTCCGTCGTAGTTTAGTGGTTTTCGTGAATTTCGTTCATATTCCCTGATTCCCCTTTGTATTATCACATCCTAATCCTCCATATGTATTGTTCGTTGTTATAGTAGGTCGTCCTTGAAGATATCATATTTTTATGTATTTTATTTAGGACTCTGGACCTCTTGAAGCTGTTTTCCCGCGCGTTTTCTGGTTTCTAACTTCATGTCCCTATATCTCATTCATTTCTGGATGTTTTCTCACGTTCTTGGTATCATAAATTTTCATTTATTCCCACCTTTCCAATGGTACTAAGATTGTGTCCTATTTCCTGGTATTTGTTGAGTTAGCAAAAGTTCGCGCGCACATTCGGTAATCACGTGCATCATTCCCATAGTCGTTCGTATGCGGGTGCCGTTTCCATTTAATTGTTTGGGATTTATGATATGCACGGGTTTTTATTTCTTTCATATGGGCTTCTGTGATTTATTTCAGATTTTTCCCTCATGATCTAAGGTTGTTTTGCACTTTCCGTGCTTTGTTTTGACCGGGCTCTTCCTCATTTGGACGGAAATTGGTCTTCGCGATCTGCCGAAGTGCGGATCTCGGTTCCGACGGCCGGTTCCCTGCGCATCGCCACCCTCATGTGTCATTACACATGATGCGGATTTCTATATTCCCGTCATGGGTATAACTTCACAACGGCTGGACCGTTTGGGCTGAAAATTTGCATAACTATAGTTCCCCATTTTTAATAATTTCCGTGTAAATTTCGTTGTATGTTTTAATTATGGATCCTACGCAAACATCGTCTTTTCCCTGAGCTTGGACTTTTGATGTCGCTATTCCCGTTATTGGATATCTTATTAACGCATGATCCTTTTATTATGAAAATTTGGGAGGATTAAGATTAGATCCCTTCCTTTCTAATGGGCCATCAAGCTTGTCTCGGTCGTTACTAGTTAATCTTCGCGCTTGCCTTTTAGACATTGTCCTCGTTTTGCAGGAGTTTTAGTCATATCTCCATCGTTTATAGGTAGTTTCCCCTGTAATTACTCTCATTGGTTCCGTTTGGAGGACATCTACATTTCCTATTGTAAACACGACTCTGACTTTTGCATTAGTTCCTGAGGAATCTTCGTTCCGTGGTACTTCCATCCTTGGCTACGTGTTCGGATGTGGGAAAGTAGTTTCCATGGAGGTTCTCTGATTATTTTTATAGTCAAATCTTGGTCGATTGTCCTAATTCTTGGTTTAATATTTGCTATAAATTCCCCCGAGAATTCCGTCTCGTTGATAGTAAGCTTGAAGTATTTTTGCTATTTTTCTTTCTTTCGATTTATCGTGTATAGTCATAATAATTCGTAAAAATTCGTAAAATTCGTTAAAATTCAGGTCCTTCTATTTTCTCATATCTACTTGTCGTATGAGGTTTTTGTGATTTATCTGGCATATTTCCATAATGGGTTTCCATAGTGTGGCCGTTATTTCTCCTACAGCGTGGAATGGTTGGAAATGTAACGAGTTATGAGATGGATGTGGGAGAGATAATCGATATGTTGGAGGGTCGAAAAATGCCTCGACCAACGAGGATTCTGTTGTCAGTCATTGCAGTAACATACCTTGGACGTGGGCGTCTGCTGCAGAACTGGCTCAAGAGTACCTTTCGTGTTCGGCATTGCAAGGTGCTTATTGCATTACAATGGTTGATTTCCAACAATCCTTTGTACATGGATTACGAAGTGGATATGGAGATCATCACTACTCTTCCTGAGGATGATGTACCGTTGGAAATCTTGGCAGCAGCTAGACAAGAGACCGACATTAGTTTGTTGAATCGGGAGAACGATACCTTTTTAGGTGACAATGAGTTAACAGGTGAGTGATAGCGTCTTTTAAAGATAAGAACATATGTTGAAATTATCTGTTCTTAAAGGTGTTGATGCACTGAATGGAGAGAGTGAAACGGCAAGTGAGTGTGTTAGAATGGGCGGAAACGGACGACTCTGGAGTGGAATCGGAGACTTAGCGTGGAGGGACCTTGGCCTCAGCAACTCAAGCGGAGCGCTGTGCCATTGCTGTTTGTCCATTTGGTCCTTAATTTCACAGTAGGTGAGCAGGAAGTCTCTTGGGGGCATTTCAGGTCGATTTCGGACTAAACCAAAACGAGTATGTACAAGCACCGATATATATAATGGAAGGGGCAAAAGCACAAGGAGAACAAAGGGTAACTGAATCGGAACGAAGACGTCCGAACGGGAACAAAGGGTAGAAGGAGCGGAGCGGTACCGAAGGTCATAAGGCAGGACCTGTGATACGTCCGAAAGGAGGTAGGGAGGGCGAGGCCCAGAGGGGCAGGAGGATGAGGGGAAGTGGGGATGATGACTAACTGGCTAGAATAGGAAGAAGCAGTAGTCCAAATAGGGATGAGGGAAAAACGCGAGAAATACATTACAAGTGGCGAGAGCGCCGAAGGCGATCCGTGAAGCTCGGGGGTTGCGGAGCTTACAGAGGTTATGGAGGCGGGGTTGAAAGTCCGAGGGATATTGGCAATGGTGTTTACGTAGTATGAGGTCACCAATGCAATGGACTAAGACCGAGGTGGAGTCAAAGTCCGAGGTAGGGACTATGACGGAGGCTCGGAGCAAGGTACGAGCGGTGTCCGAGTGCGAAGTACGGGACAGCGGTGGAAGGTCGTAACTTGGCGGAAGGGTGGTGGAGGAGTAGGAGAGGGAGGAAAGGTAAGGGAGAAGGAGTGGCGGAAAGGAGGGTAGTCAGGTCTGAAGGTGAGTATCGGAGCGGACGGGGGAAGCGTAGGAGGATGACGGGAGGGTGGAGGTGTTGTGAAGGGGGAGTGGAGTAGTAGGAGGGTGGCGAGAGGGGCGGTGTTCGGTCCGAGATGAGTATCGGAGCGGACGGAGATAGGGTCGGAGAGGTAAGGAGGAGGTGTGTACCAGGACCGAGGGTGAGTATCGGAACGGCAGCGGTAGGTTATGACTCCGGAGGTGAAGAGGGTGGAGGTCCGGAAGTCGGGTCGGGGTCGGGTATGCACGGATATGACAGTATCCCCTTCTTAGGCCTGAACCCTTGAAGGCCTTAGAATAGGTCTCTGGATATACCTGCTGCAATACCGACGAAGGTGGTGATGGAACACGAGGAGCGTGGCGAAGTGTAACAAGGAAGACTTACAATGACCAGCTCGGGATCTTGGGGATGGTGTTCGATCAACGAAGGGAGGAAGGGGGGAGTGAGGTCCGACAGGACTTCACGAGGAACTAGGGAGAGTGGGGAGACTCGGAAGGGCGGAGTCGGGTACGGAAATGGCAAGGACTCAATCGGGAATAGGGAAGAGGTACGATCGGAAGGGTTGGGTCGCACAGATATAGGTAGTCGTCTGGCGAGTAAGAGCTGAAAGGTGAGTGAAGAGGTCATGTAGACGCGGTCTTCGAGGAGAGTTTCAGTCTTAACTTCCATGAAATTCCTAAGAGTCGAGGTCCGGGGGTCGTGGTGGAAAGTCCGGAGCAAGGTCTGTTCCAAGACCAAGCTTTGGTGGGTTGGGAGGTCCTCAAGGAATGGAGGAATCCAGGGGTGACACAATGGAGGCCGGATGGGCGAATCACAAAGTGTGTTGGGGGGACCGAAGGTCCATGTGATGATACAAGGAGGACCGAAGTCAGCTCCGAAGTATCCGAAGGAGCGGAGTGAAGGAGTTCCCAATTGCGACAA